GGTCTCACAATCGATCTCACTTTCGATCGCATTATCGATCTCACATTCGGTACCACAATCGATCTCACAATCGATCTCACAAGCGACCTGACATTCGATCTCACGTTCGATCTCACAATCGATATCACTACCGATCTCAGTATCGATCATCAAAACAAAACATCAACATCGTCCAGCGGGACACCGGCGGGGCACCGCGGGGCCCCGGCCGCCCGGAACGGAATCATTTCGTCCGGCCGCGCCTCAGCCACACGGGACACCATCGGGACACCGGCGGGACACCGCGGGGCCCCAGCCGCCCGGAAGGGAGACATTTGGTCCGGCTGCGCCTCAGCCACACGGGACACCAGCGGGACACCGGCGGGACACCGCGGGGCCCCGGCCGCCCGGAAGGGAATCATTTGGTCCGGCCGCGCTTCAGCCACAGGAGACTTTTTCTCGCCCGCCCACGCAGCTTCGCCTCGCCCGCACGCGCGGCACGCACGAACACGAAACCGAAATCGATTTCCCGGTAGGGGGGCTCTCCGTTCCACTTCGATATCACCCCCTCACCTCCGACTAATACGACTACTGCGACTACTGCTATGACTATTACAACTACGACTACTACCACGACTACTACTACTACTGGTACTACTACTACTACGAACACTACTACTACTACTACTACTACTACTACTACTACTACTACTACTACTACTACTACTACTACTACTACTACTACTACTACTACTACTACGACTATTACTACCACGACGACTACTACTACTACTACGACTACTACTACGACTACTACTACTACTACTACTACTACTACTACTACTACTACTACTACGAAGACTACTACTACTACTACTACTACTACTACTACTACTACTACTACTACTACAATTGTTGTCGCTTCGCGAATCCCCACCAGCCCATCCAGAAACGATGCCCAGAGGAATTGCCTCGATCAGAGAAGTGGGCAGCACACAGAGGAAGCCATTATGAGACATCTTGGGATATCTTGAGCCATCTTGGAGGTCATTTTGGGCTCTACCAGACGCTCTTGGAGTCATCTTAATCCGTGCCCCCCCCCAAGAGGCCTCCATGTGGCTAAAACCTGTGTAGAATCAATGATTAGGCATTCTCGCCGAGGCCTCTTGGAGCATCTTGGGTGCATCTGGGGGGGCTCTTGGGGCCTCTTGGGGGTCTCTTGGGGGCCTCCGGGGGGCCTCTTGGGGGCCTCTTGGGGCCATTTTGGGGCCATCTTGGGACCTCTTGGGGCTTCCTGGGCGCTTCTTGGGGCCATCTTGGAGGAGATCGATCAAACAAGAGGGGGGGTTTAATTAGCGCCCCCCCTCGGAAGCCCCTAAAATCGCCTCTTGGACCCCTCTTGGAACGCTCTTGGAGTGCTCTTGGGCGCTCTTGGGGCCGTCTTGGGGCTCTTTTGGGGCTCTCTTGGGGCCCTCTTGGGCCATCTTGGAACCATCTCCAGGCCTCGGATGGCCATCGGAAGCGAAAAGGCGAGAAAGCAAAAATCATTGATTTTCCTTAGGTTTTGGGACGATTTTGGCCTCTTCGGGGCCTCCTTGGGGAGCTGTTTGGCCACTTGGAGTTATCTTGGGGCCGTCTTTGGGCTTCTTGGAACCATCTTAGGAGCCATCTCGAGCGATCTTGCGCTATCTTGAGCCATCTTGGAGCTCATCTTGGGTTCTCTGAGGCGCTCTTGGAGCCGTCTTGGGCCATCTGGGACGCTCTAACTACCCGCGGCCCCCCCCGTCCAGGTCCAGGGGAGGGGGTAGGGGGAGGGGTAAACCCCTCCCCAAGGGGGAAGAGGGAGGGGTGGAAGAGGATCTGTTCTAGACCACCTACGCCCAGAGGGCTGGTGGGATAAAACCTTTCTTGCGGTTAGGGGGGCCACATGCGAACCCTACCCCTACCCCCCACGATTTCTGAGGGGGAGGGTGGGGTTCACTTCGCTCGTGAGCTCCCAGACGAAGTGAACCCCACCCTCCCCTCAGAAATCGTGGGGGGTAGGGGTAGGGTTCGCATGTGGTCCCCTAGCGGCGCACGCTGAGATGCGCACGTGTGTACGTGCGCTGTAGCGCCGACCAAGACGACAGGGGGGTAGGGTGAGAGAGGAGGGGGAGGAGGAGGAGGAGGAGGAGGAGGAGGAGGAAGGAGGAGGAGGGAAGACATACAGACACAATTGATCGTCGATCCCCCGGGAAGCATGGGGAAAAATAGGGGAGCGGTGGGGGGGGGGGGACGACGAACCTCCAGAGAACACGAGGAACCATGGGAACCCTGGAACTCGTGTCTCTTTCTGTGTGTGTGTGTGTGCCCCGCGGCCCCTTCGTCCTCCCCCCGGGGAGCGAGCCGAGCGCAAGGACGCGGCCGTGGTGGCGCAGGGCCTGCTGGACGCCGTGCTGCCGCTGGTGCCCCCCTGGCGGCGCCGCGATGCGTCGGGCGGGCCGCGGCTGCCAGCCCTCGGCCTTGTCGGGGGCGTCGGGCGGCCCCGGGTGCGGGCAGTGCTTCTGCCCAGGGCTGGACCTGAACGGTGCTTTGGCGATCTCGTGGGCCGGTTTCGTTTCGACTTCGTTTTGTATGAAGGGCGGATGGAAAACAAAGCGAGGGGAAACGAAAACGAAACCAAAACGAAAAACACGGTTAGGTTCAGCCCTTCTTCTGCCCATGCAGTGGGGGCCCCTGCCAAGAAACGCCCTGCTTGCCTCCAGGGTGCCCTAGGCGTCTTGGCTTCGATGGCTTTGCGACGGGGAGCGTGAGGTTCCCATACCGAACATGAGTAGGCGTCCTGGGGCCTCAGGGTAGGGTTTTTCGTGTGGGAGGTCTGTTGTGGTCGGACCCCCAGTGTATCCACTGCAGTATCCGAAGAAGAAACATGTTATAAACATAAACATTTGGCGCTCCGCGCGGACCCCCCCGGCGGCGCCTCCAGCGGAGCTCCTGGCGCGTTCCGCGCGCCAGGGAGGGGGGCCCAGCGCAGATCCAAGATATCCGTGCGGAGCGCCGAAAGTTTACATGTATGCTGTTTGTTTCTTCTTTTTCTTCTAAGCTTCGGGCTCCTTTCCCCAGCAACCCGAGGCGCACCAGATATGGATAAGCTTGCCCCCGAGAGGCTCGATGTTTTTCCATATCCAGTGCGCCTCGGCCTTGTGGTGCAGTCCAAGACGCACTGTATATGGATATAAGTCTTGCCCGCACCAAAATCGCAACAAACATGCTCTCTCGGAGGTCTCTCTTGGAGCGGCGCTGGGCCTCCTTCCCCAGAGTCGACGAACAACAAACTGCATAGGCACACTTTCTCGGATGCCCTCCCCCGATTTCTTGGATCGGCGCTGGGCCCCCCTGGCGGCGCCTCCGGCGCCGCCCCTGGCGCGCTCGGCGCGCGAGGGAGGGGGGTGCAGCGCCGATCCAAGAAGTCCGCGCGGACCTCCGAGAAATGATGTTTCTGCCTGTTGCCGTTCCCCTACAGAGGCCAACCGCTAACCTGGGCGCCGCAGACGTCCAGAGGGAGGGACCCTTCCTGGTGCGTCAGTGTCAATGACGACCTCTGCAGGCACTCAGAGCACGTCCTACTCGTCGCCAGAGTTGGCTTGTTCGGCGAAGGCCGATCAAGATTAATCACGATGCGAGGCAGTGGCCATCGGACATCGCTCCTAGAGTTGTCGAGCTGACTTGAATCGGCCGTCGTCGGCGCCACCGACGTGGGCTTCCCTTGAAATCTGGACGTTGCAACTTTTTCGCACCGGGTGGTATTGCCCAGTTTCGGGCGCTGCGACCAGCATAGATCGATCTGGTTCGGAAAATGTGGCATGGAGGGTCTGGGGCTCCGATGTGTGGCTGTTTTCGCAACGATGCAAGGACACCGACGCCGCCTCTCATCCTGGGGATTGCGTGCACCGAAGAAGCCCTGGAAGGGGGATGGCGTGCACAGAGGGTGCCCTCGAGAGGGCATCGCCTCGCAGTGATGGCGTGCTTCTGGGAGGCCGATGCTGCACGCCACCTGCCCAGCGCCAGCCGCAGGAGGACGACGGGGCAGGGGAGGGCAGGCGGCGGGCCGCTGAGGTGGTGGGATTCGGAAGGGGGGGGCGGAACCTGCGGCATCAGCGTGCAGCAGGAGATGCTTACCATATGACCCGATCCCCCGTCACAGAGGCAGTTCTGAGAAGTGCTGTGGCGGCGCCGCCATGCACCTTACGGTCGAGAGCATGAAAATGCATTCGCTTCGATCCCCTCTCGCTCCAAATACCAGGGCAGGCGGCGGCGGGCCGCCGAGGGGGGATTCGGAAATTGGGAGGGCGGGAGCCTGCGGCGTGCGCGTGGCCTCGGCCCCGGCGCCCGGCGCACCTCCTCGGTGCCTCTGGCGCCTCCTCCTGCTGGGAGTCGCCGCAGGACTGGCCTGCATATGCTTTTCGTCCGCTTATCCTGGGTTTCTTCGCTCCTCGCGCTGCGCGGTGGCTTCCCGCAGCCGTTGAAGGAGCTGCTGCGTTCAGGGTGCTCCGGGTTTCCCCTCAGGTGCACCTCGCGCATGGGTTCTCAGGGGTGGGTTTCTTGCGAAGGTTTCTTGCGGCCGCACCCGCACTTTATGCCCACCCCCTCTCTTCCGCCCCGAAGTAGTCAACGTTGCATTTTCGGGGGACCTCGCCTGTCCCCCAAGTCGGTGTCTCTTCTTGTCCCGACGCGGGCTCGATGCGGACTCGACGCGGATTTGGCGTGAATCCGACGCGGATCCGACGCGGATTCGGCACGGATCTGGCGGTCAGGCGGTCGAGGACGGGGTGGATGGGGCGGAGATAGGAGTGGTTGAGCTTGGCCGAGTTGGGCAGGGTGACGCGCGAGGGGCAGCTTGTCACAGCATCTCTTTGGCTGCTCTGGCCACACCCCGACTGATGCCGGCGGCAGTGACGGCGGCGATGGTCTTACGTAATATTGTAATGCGGAGTCATGGTCGTTTTCCCTGCCAGGTTTGCGGGCCCGACCCGTCGCCGGCGATGCTCGACGCCATGTCTTTCCTGCGGAGGGGTTGCGGGGGGCTCATGCCGTCCTTGTGGATGTCTTTATCCTCTGGCACGCTCTCCTCGTAACGCGACCTAGCGATCAACACAACGAGTTAGGCAGGGACGGTTCAACAAATTGCCATGTCTCGTCTGGGTCGCTGGCTGCTTCCACGAGGCCTCGACGACGACGACGACGACGACGACGAACCGGGGGAGTCCTGGGCTGCCCGCCCCAGCAGCCGCTTCGCCCAGGCTGCCTCACAGTCTATCCAGGAACCGTGCCCTCGCCGCAGCGCCGGCCGGCCACAGTTTCGGTCCGGACGGCCGCGGTCCCTTGTAGCAGAGGAGCATTCAGGAAGGACAAAAACCACACAGACACAATGAACCGTCGATTCCCCAGAAGATATGGGAACATGTGGGAAGTGGGGGGGAAGACAAAAACCTAGAACATATGGGGAAATATTGGGGATCTGGTTATTTGTGTCCATTTATTTGTGTGTCCCAGGGCCCCTTCAAGCATGAAGTATTGATATGGATCGTTTGCCAGATTTTTAGGTTTTCCCGTTCTTCCGCGCGGGCTCCAGGGACGAATGGTCGAGCGCCTTCCGTTTCGCAGGTGCTTTGCATGATGGGCGCGGTGCCTTCGTTGTGCAGCGGAGCGCCATCGGAGATTCCAAGCTGCATTCTGCTTTGCTCTTGGGGGGTCCGTGAGTCGCAGCTGCCGTGGCGCGATTTTCGAGGTAACCCGTTCGAGTGCTGTTAGCGGGCGCAGGGCGCGGCGCGCGCTGCGCCCAAACGCACGCGGCGCTGTGCGTAAATCAGCCGGCCGCGCCCGCCGGACCGCCAGACAATTATTTCTAGATTATAGAATGTTGGCGCAAGCGGTTCCGGAAATTTTCAAAAATGAGTCTGGCAAGGTTCAAAACAAAAACAATTTGTTGGGGTGGAATGCGCCTGCCGCGCAGGACATCTGAAGGATTCTGAAATCCGGAATTTTTCAACATTGGTTTTATCAAAATCGATTCCAGGATTTTTCGAAATCGATTCAGGGCTGTTTTGCAAAAGTAGGCCGGACATCTTCAAAAACGTTTTCCGAATCTGCCCCGGAAAAAGGTCCAGAGTCGCGCGTGATTTGCCGTACCAGGTCTTTGCGCGTCCGCCGAGGCGCGCAGTGCGCGGCGGCGGGCGACAGGACGGTGCGCCACCGTGCCCCCCTCGCTCGGCAACGAAAAGGGGGATCAGCAAATGTCAAATAGCCCCCCATACGGGCGACGACTCGATTCCGAGCGGGTGACCGACCAGCGGCGCCAGGCAGAGCAGACAATCTTCGACGCGAAGTGCACGCCGCGCAAAGACTGTTGGAAATCCCGGCTTTCCCGGAACGCATCGATAGCACGCCGTGTCACCAAATTCTTCTCGTCCTGTTGTAAACAGTACCGAAGTGCACACGACCAGGCGTTGTTTAGGACCCCCCCCCGGATACCCAGGCGCGCGTGAGCTCGCTCGCCGACCTCCCGCTCTTCGGCCGGCCCTCTTGCCTCTGCTGCTCCTCGGGGCAACGTGCTGTGGTAGTCAGTGGCCTCCTTCACTCCGGTGGGCTGGGCATGCGCACGCTTCATGCCGATCTTCGGGGACCTCGGCCAGCGGTGGATTATTGACGCCCTGCGGGAGCCAGCTGCGTCCATGTCCAGCGCTTGCCGATGTGCCCGACGATGGTCTACGGGCGGTGGTCATGGGTAAACCCATGCCTCGCATTGTGTCAGAACGGGCGCCGGTGGTAGTCCCCAAACAAGAAACGGAAGGGATTGTTAGAGAACCCGTCCCCTCGTCTAGGGGGTGTGTTTTCACGCCTCTCCCACTCCCCCATTTCAAATGGGGGGGGGCCCTCCCGACAGCCTTCACATCGCTTCTGCCCCTTCCATAGAGCACAGGATGTGTGTGTGTGTGTTGTAGTGTGTCCAGATGTTCTCATTGACGAGCTGGGACGGGTCCTCGCAATCAGGGGAGGATATTACGGGTTCTACGCGTCGCTAGGCGACCCCACAGCACATGTATATTGCCTTGTCTTTGTAGAAGCCAGTCGGATTGCGCAGTGTCCATGTCAGAGATAGACGGGGCACGACAAGTGTTGCATTGGAGTTCGGATCCGGGCATGGTGGTGGGCGGCAGGGTCAAGCGATTGTGCAGAATGCGAAGTCATGATTCACTGTGTGCACGAATCGGGAGACATGGCGACGATGTGGGACGCAGTGGTTCGTTTCAAGCCTCAATCTGGCGCTACCGATCCAAATTAACGTCGCGGAACTGGGTGTAACCGACGCCTTCGTGGTCCCGCAGATGCTGGTTGAAATGGTTTCGCGTCTTGTTCTGCAACCCTACTGCCTGGCACGGATTTGCAGTAACATCCAGTGCCGCTTGCTGCGTGTGTCGTCGCGTTGTCGCACCGTCCCGCCCCGAACCCCTGAGACCCGTGTTGTTTCACTACGGGGCCGATCTGGATCACTCAACCCCGGCACCCGCACGGGTCTCGCGCCTTGGATCACCGAGCGCGTTCCACTTACTCGCCAGGTGCCTGCTCGCCAGCGTCCGAAAACCACATGCCGGATTCGATGGAACCTGTCGCCGATCCCTTGCGGCGTACCCAGGCCACTTGCGAGCAGTTCCTCTGCGAGTCGTGGCGCGCGCTCGTCTGTTGTCGGGCGACGAGAATTATGCACATGCACCGATCCTGGCAAGGCCGATCCTTGACCCAGGATCGGTGCATATGCCTTCCTGGCCAAGGTAGGAGGGCATATGCACCGATCCTGGGCTCAGGATGGGCCTGGCCAGACTCGGTGTATGTGCATAATTCTTTTTCCTCTATGTTGGAGGCCGCCCCTGCCGATGCCTCCGGGGATCCCCGGGCGGGATTGTGGCCGCAGGTCGGGCGGGGAGCGGGCCGCGCAGGGCGCCTCCTGCCGGCCAGCAGGGCTCCCAGCGAGGCTCGGCCCTGGGCCCCCCCTCGCGGGCGCGTTGCTCGGCGTCGGTGAACCGATCCCCGTCCCCATCCCCATGCCTCTTCGATCGGGGGAGCGTAAGACCCGGGTTTGCCAGGACTCGGGTTCGCCATCGTTTTTTGACGACCGCGCCTCGGATTTTGACGAGGAGGAGTTTCGTGGGATGTCTGCAGCGGGAGGCCTCGTCAAAATGCAGGTTCGGCCTCGTCATTTTTTTGACGACCTCGTCGGGCCAACCCGAGCCCCCCGTACCCGGGTCTTACGTCTCCCCGATTCGAGACCGCAGCAGCGGCATCTGCTCTAGCTCGAGGCCCCGAGAAAAACGTGCCTTGCGAGCGTTGGGCAGGTCTGCGTGCACTTGTGGATGATCAGCTGGTGCGCCACAGCTTGGCACCATCAGCGTTGATTGCAGGTTCGTGGATCAAGACAGCGATCGTATATAGTCAGCAACAGTACGTTTCACTTCCGAGTGATAGGAACGGTATAATCAAAACATCCCCTTCGTGCTCCCCACCACATTGCCACCCCGGCTGGGGATACACCCCTCGACGCCCGAAGGGGACGGCCCACATCCCCATCTGGGGGGGGTACATCGGCCAGTGGGGCCCAGGCCACGCCGCTGGGGAGCGGGGTCGGATGCACGATGCTCATCGCTGGCGCGCGGAGCGCGCCCGGGGCGGCCGCCAGGGGGGCCTGGCGCAGATCCGAGCGGGGCGCGCGGAGCTCCGAGAGCTTCTCCGTGGAGGGGCCGCGCCGGTGCCGCCTGCCTGGCGCGGCTGGGCTCAGGAGGGGAAGAAACACACGGACACAGTTGATCGTCGACTCCCGGGAACATGTGGGAAAACATGGGAAGTGGGGGGGAAGACAGAAACCTAGAAAATATGGGAAAATATATGGGGGATCTTTTCTTATTTGTGTGTATTTATTTGTGTGTCCCAATGTAGGAAAATAGGGGGGATCTTTTTTTATTTGTGTGTATTTTTAGTTGTGTGTCCCAGGGCCCCTTCAATGGGAGGCGCCCTGCGCGCGCCTCCGCGGGCCCCCCGCGCCGAGCAGCCCCCCTCGCGGCGCCCTCGGGGGCAGCACGGCCGGAGGCCTCGGCTGGGCGCCCCGCGGGCGGCGCCTCCTTCTCTGCGCCGCCCCTTCGCGCGCGCTCCGCGCGCCGGGGCCTCAAGCAGTGGCGAAGCGCCCCGGCTCGCCTAGAGGCCTACCAATCGGGGGCGGAAAAGAGGGGGGTGATGACTAGGGGGGGGTGGATGTCATGGCGGGGGCCATGATATTTCCCCAGATTTCATGGCGCCTCGTCTTATGTCATTACGTCCCTGGCCCCCCCGCTGGGCCGCGCACATGCCGCCGGTCATGATTTGCACCCCCCTCTCTTGGACACCCCCCTCTTGGCCGCTCCCGAACCAAAGAATGTTCTAAGAACTGTTTGTGGCTTTCACGCAGTGTTCTCAGAACATGTTTGGCTGGGACTGTCTCGTCTTCACACGTCGGGTAATTATGTCCTATGAACGCCGTCTTGCTCCCAGAACATTTTTCTTGGGTTCCGAGAACATTGCGTGGTAGGGCTACAGGAATGCCGGGGCGGCCGGTCCCTGCTCGAGGGTCGGGGGCCCGCGCGGACCTCCGAAGAGGTTTGTGCCTCGTGCCTCTTGTTCCGCTGCCGCGCGCGGGCGCGCGCGCGCGCGGGCGCGCGCGCGCGCGTCGACGAGCAGGGAGGACGCGGGCTCGCACGCTGTGCGGTGGCCCCGCCCAGCTCGGCCGATCACGCGCAGCCGGTGCCGGCCTTCATTCAAGCAGTCGCGAAGCGTCCTGGTTCGCCTAATTATAGGCCCACCAGACCATGTTCTAAGAACCTTTTGTGGTTCCCACGAAGTGGTCTTAGAACATTTCTGGCGGGGACTGTCTTGTTTTAACACATGGGGTTTATGTTCTAAGAGCATGGTTTTGTTCTTGGAACATTTTTGGGTTCTAGGAACATTTCGGGGTATGACTATAGGAATGCCGGGACGGTCGGTCCCTGCTCAATTCATCGCACCGCCTGCGTCGTGAAGACGGGCCTCGCTGGACAAGCACGTGCTGGCGCGGACACGCGTTCTGGGACGCCGGGACGCCCGCCGGCACAGTCAACCCGCGTAAGAAGGAGGACCGGCTTTCCAAGGGTGACCCTGCGTCCTTCCCCTTCGGCCCATTCTTGGCCGCTCTCGCTGGCCGTGCCCCGCTCGAAAAGGGTCGACATCCTTTCCGCGCATCCTTTCCGCGCATCCATTCCGCGCATCCTCTTTGTACGGTTAAGTCGGGCCTGTCCCACGACAGGAATATTCAAAATGGTCAGAACACAGTCTCGGGACGATGCTTCGATTAGTTTTGACTATTGATCGAATATTTTTGGCCATTCTTGACTTTCGCCCAAAAAGTCCGCCTGTGGGAGGACACGCCCGACCTCACTGTACGGGTTGACTGCACGCTGCCCCCGGCGGCGGCCGCCCGCCGCGAGGCCCGCCGAGCGGCGCGGCGTAGAGGCCCTCCGGGGGCGCGGCCGACGGCGGCGTCGACGACGGCGGCGCGGCCGACGGCGGCGCGGCCGACGACGGGCCGCGCAGCGGCGTCGAGCGCCAGCGCCTGCCGCTCAGCGCCGCGGCGCGGCGAGGCCGCCCGGAGAGGCGCGCGCGCGCCGCCAGGCTGCTGCGCGTCTGCCTGGCCCTGCGGGTGCTGGCGAGGGCCTTCGTCAGCGCGTTCTCCGCCATGGCCTGGACCTCCATGGGCTCCTCCTCCTCCTCCTCCTCTCCTCCTCCCTCCTCCCTCCTCACTCCTCCCTCCTCCCTCCTCCCTCCTCCCTCCTCCCTCGACGAGCTGCTGATGTGTGCGGACTCCGACCTGGTGGTCCTCGAGTTCGGCACCGTGCTGATCATCAGCGCCACCGTCTCCCTCTTCCTCTGAGAGGGGGCGTGCCCGCCTTCGCTGGCTGCCTCGACGGAGCGCGTCGCGGCTGGACCGCCCGCGTTCGGCCCCTGGGGCAGACCCGCGTCTCGCGGCCCGTCTTATCTTATCTTATCATCCTCTTCCCTCCCTCCTCCCTCCCTCCCTCCTCTCCTCCTCCTCCTCCTCCTCCTCCTCCTCCTCCTCCTCCTCCTCCTCCTCCTCCTCCTCCTCCTCTAGCACCTTTTGGCTTAATCGTCTTGCCGTTCGGACGCGCCCCCCCGCGGAGGCGCCCTCGCCAGGATGCCGATGCTTGGTACGTTCAACCTGGAGGCCAGCCGCAAGGGCGCTGAGGAAGCCTCGCGAGGCGCGCTCCTCGCGGCCCATGCGGCCTCGGGCCTGGCCGCGGGGAGCGCCCCTAAGGGGATGCGCCTCCTGCGCGCGGCCGAGGGCCTCCTGCGCGCTGCCGTGGCCGCGATCCGCGGCCGTTCTGCGGCTGGCGCTGCGGCCGCCTAGCAGCGGCGGCGGCGCGGACGTGGTGGCCGTGCCGCAGGGGCAGCCGGACCCGCTACGCTGGGCGTGGCGGCCGAGGAGAAGAGTGCGGAGGCGGGAGGAGCTGGCAGTTGCCGATGGTAGCGCAGGCAGCTGGTGACGGTCCCAGGCCGGCGAGGCGGCGCCGCCGCTCCCGACTTGCGCCTGTTGCCGACCATCTTGGTGCAGATGCTGTTCTCCCTCCCGCTGTATCCGGCACTCCTAGTGATAATGAGCTCGACGATGCCTTTGCTGACGATCTTCCAGTGTGCCAGGGCCGTGGCGAAGCTGGTGCGATGGCGTCTGCTGCTCCTGCGGGTAGCGGCACGACCCCAGCTGGCGCGGAGCTCATGGATGTGGTGTTCGAGGAGGCGGCGCGGCCTGCGGCGGTGGCGGCGGCGGCGGTGGAGCCAGCGGTGCCTGGCGGAGCCGCTGCAGCTGCGCCTGCTGCTGCGGTTGAGGTCTCTCGAGCCTGGAAGGAGGGCGAGCTCGTCCGCATCATGCACGATGGGCGTGCGGGCAGCGTCATCGGCAGCGGTACGACGTTCGTCCGAGTTCGGCTCCGTGGCCGTGGTGCGGTCGCCTTCGAGCCCCTCGACAACGTCGAGCACGAAGCTGCCGCTGGTGCGCGCGCGGCTTTCGGAGGGCTGGGGGAGGGCGATAATGCCGTGCCCGAGCACGGCCGTCCTCCCCCTCAACGCCGTCGACGACAGCGTCCCCCTCCCGCTCGGCTTCGTCGTCTTCGAGCACTTTTGAGGGCTCCCGCCCCCTGGCCGCCATGGCGGCGACGGGGGATGTCGCCGCATCGGCGTTGTTCTCTCTCTCTCTCTCCCTCCTCCTCCTGCTCCTCCTCCTCCTCCTCCTCCTTTTCCTCCTTCCTCCTCCCTCCCCCCCCTCCTCCTCGACCTCCTCCTCCTCCGCCTCCTCCCCCCCCCCTCGCTCCCTCCCTCCCTCCTTACTCCCTCCTCCTCCCCTCCTCCTCCTCCTCCTCCTCCTCCTCCACCTCTCTCCTACTCCGCTCCTCCTCCTCCTCCTCCTCCCTCCCTCTCCCTCCTCTTCCTCCTCCTCCTTCCTCCTCCTCCCCCTGCCTCCTCCCTCCTTCCTCCTCCCTCCCCCCCTCCCCTCCCCCTCCCCCCCCTCCTCCCCTCCTCCTCCTCCTCCTCCTCCTCCTCCTCCCCTCCTCCTCCTCCTCCTCCTCCTCCTCCTCTCCTCCTCCTCCTCTCCTCCTCCTCCTCCTCCTCCTCCTCCTCCTCCCTCCCCTTCCTCTCTCCTCCTCCTCCTACTCTCCTCCTCTCCTTCCTCCTCCTCCTCCCCTCCTCCTCCTCCTCCTCCTCCTCCTCCTCCTCCCCCTCTCTTCCTCCTCCCCTTCCTCCTCCTCCACCTCCCTGCCTCCTCCCTCCTTCCTCCTCCCTCCTCCCTCCTTCCTCCTCCCTCCGGTGCCGCATTTTGGGATGGGCATCTCCCCGATCCACGGATTTGGCGGCCCCGCGCCCCCGACAGAGGAAACCCAGAACACATCGATGATGTCGCCCCCCTGTTCCAAGTCCCGTCGTCTGATCGTCAGAAGGGAGGATAAAGCGAGAGCTCTCGCGTGTGACCATGTCTACCGCCGCTGATCCCACACGCGGTGTTGTGCGTTTCTCCATGGATCAATTTGCTCGGCTTGGACCTACGCGAGCTGCTCTGCGAAGCTGTGTTCAATTGGGTTGCCCTTGGCAACGCTGGCGGTCAAAAGCAAAGACGCACACGACAACCGTGTCCGATCGACTCGACGGCAAGCTTCTGGCTTTCAGAACGGGAGGAAGTCTCAAGCGAGAACAACCTTTCGAACATGAATCGCCCTCTATCCGTTTAGCCGGCGGAAAGTTTTGAAACGCGTGTGTGCTGCACAGTGGCGAGGTTACAGTTTAGAAAACGGCCCACCCTCCGTCCATGTAGCCGTCGGAATTTCACTGTTTCGGGGTATGATGGTGAGGACAATTCAGGCGGAACGCTTGGCCCGCCATTTGGACACGTCTGTGGTGGAGGCAGGATGAGAAATGGGCAGGAGTCAAGCTAGGGGCGCTCGCGCGCCACATCTGACGTCGTACCCCTACCACCAGGACCCAAAGCCACATCACAAGCATTGGCCGCGGTCACTGATGTGCTGTCGGTACAAGCGCTTGTGTGTGGTGCGCAGCAGTGCTGGCCAGCATCTTACTGAGCACACTGCGCATGCCGAGCGACGTGCGCATCGACATTGTACTCGTTTCGCGACCCTGGGCCTGCGCCAAAAGCACAAGCACACACACAGCTCCTTCGGGCACCAAGCTGGTGTTCGTCCCTAAGTCGCTTGTGTAGATGTGATCGTGGTGGAACTTTTATGAGGAGGTGTACCGTTTTGGCGCTATGGGTAGCACGTAATCGAAAACCTTCCTCCGCCAATGCATGTTGGTGCCCCAGTTGTGGACCGCAGCCGGTCAAACGAGCATCGGGCGAGTGCTGCAGTCACCACGTCTTGCTGCATCCTCCGCGCTGGCTGCGCCACGCTCGTTGCTCACTTGGTCACTCCCCATCTTCAACGCCAGCTTGTTCGGCACCTGCGAACTGTCGTATCTCTTTTGGTGTTTCTTCGAGTCGGACTTCGGTGGCACCTCCATTATCACTTGCATGGCAGAGTCTCACGGGCCACCGTCTTTCACAATGAGGCCTTCAGGCTAGCCGCTGGCACCTACTGCTGTCGTTCCGCGTGCTGCCCGGACGCCCTGTCAAAGGCCTCGCCCAAGGAGCAGGGAAGTTGCCCCGCGAACATGCCAAATTGCGGGCCCCCTGGCCACTGCAATATGTCAGCCACTACTGCACGCACGCTGCCCACTCACCCACTCAACGACGTGGCAGTGCTGAGTGCGTTTGGCGGGCGATCTCGGTTTAGCTGTGCCATGCGTTTGACCACCAAACCTGTTCACCCATGCTCGAATGCATGCCCTAGTGTTCGGACGCACCATGCACGGAGTGCGCGGCCTCGGAGATTCTGAAACGTCTGTGTCGTGCCCCGGGCCGCAAGACTATGTTTATGCCTTTCTCTGCGCTCTCGGTCTAGACGCGTGGGCACGGCAGCCTGTGTACCCTCTGAATCGTCGATTCCCAAGAAAATATAGGAAAATATGGGAAGTGGGGGGGAAGACAGAAACCCGGAAAATATGGGGAAATATAGGGAATCCGGTTATTTGTGTGTATTTATTTGTGTGTCCGAGTTCCCCTTCACGTTGGCCAGAGACGTGTGCGCGATGGTCCTCACACAGGCAGCTGTCGGCTGTCCTGCCGCTCCGGGCACGCCTGCGGGGAGCCAGGGCTGGTCCTGAGACGGTGTTCTGGCGAGCTCCTCGGCCGTCTTCGCTTCGACTCCGCTCTGCGATAGAGGTGGATGGAAGACGAAACGAGGGCAAACGACATCAAAACGAAGACGAAACACACACACACACACACCGTTTAGGTTCCGCCCTGTGGGGCGCACGCCTGCGCACCGCCCGTGCACGGCGGCGCAGGCCCCGCGAAAGTGCAGGGCCCGCGCGCCGGGGCAGCGCGCGCCGGGGCAGCGCTGTCATGCCTGGCGACGCAGGGGCGCGTGCGCAGCACGCGCTGCCGTGGCGCCCCCGCGCGCCGTGCGACGCGCGGTGGAGGCGCCGCTTGTGTGAGGTCGGGCCTGTCCCCCTACACGGGGATTTTCGACGACAAATAACAAGTACCCCAAACATACCCCAAAAAGGTAAAGAAATACTCCAAAATAGTCCCCAGACTATTTTTGGACCATTTTTGGAGTATTTTTGGGGTATCTTTTGTTTTTCGTCGAAAATCCCTCTGTAGGGGGACAGGCCTGACTTAATGCTTGTGCCCAGTGGCGCCCTTGCACATGCGCAGCGTGTGTGTCCAGATGCGCCCTGCAGTGGGGGCGCGCAGCAAGAAGCCACATGCTTTTCGTCAGGGTATCCTGGGTTTCGTCGCTCCTCTCGCTGCGCGGTGACTTCCCGCGGCCGTTGAAGGAGCTGCTGCGTTCAGGGTGCTTCTGGCTTCCCCTCAGGTGCACCTCGCGTGCGGGTTCTCAGGGTTGTTTTTTTGCGAGGGTTTCTTGCGGCCGCGCCCGCACTGTACTGACAGACAGAATGCATCAGTCCTTGGGCCACGCTACTTCCCGTGCCAGGCCTACGCCGCTCCCGCATCGCTGCGCCCGCGCCCGCTACTGCAGCAAGCTCTGGATCGACTGGCAGCAGGGCGCCGCGGCAACGCCGTCATATTTAGCTTGTGTTTTGTCGATGGCATCATCTTCCACGCCGCCACACTGTAAGCCGCGGCCACAAAGACCACGCTGGGGCTGCAGCCCGCGCAGGTTCATTTCCGCCCTGCTCACGTTCACGTACCGCGGCAAGGAGGACGTGTTCACGTACCGCGGCAAGGAGGACGTCGACGTGCGTTGGCCACACCTAAGTGGTAGTCGCTAGGACTGCTCAGTAGGACCGTTTTGGCGCGTGTGCCTGGCATGCCGTCCCAACACGCAGCGCTTACGGCTCTCCATGGCCGTGCGCAAGGGTGCAGTCGCAACGGCACGTCGCGCCGCGTGTTGCGCGACCCGTGGTGGTTGCCATCCTCCGCGCTGCCGCGAATGGCGCGTGACAGTTTTCGGCGCGTGCGCCGTCGTCTTGCGACCAGCCCGTCCACGTGGTTGCATGATGGGCGGGATGCCCCGCTTTGCGCGCGCAGGCACGCACTGACGCAAAGCGGCCAGCTCCCGCTGGAAGTGTCTACGCGACAGCACCCTCTCTCTTCCCCTCGTTCCCTCCAGGCAGAAGAGGAAAGGACCACGCCGCAGCGATTTCAGCGCCTGGATCATCGCACTTATCGTCAACGTGAAGATGTACGTGCTTGCGCGTCTAAGTGGCTCCCAGAAAGAAGGCGAGCTTGTCAGATCAACGCGAACGCCTGCTCGGCGCAACGGCTCGCTCGCCCGCGCCGGCAAGGGGACCGAATACCGATTTTGCAGGGCGAGCGGAGCAAGGGGCCGTCGGGAAGGCCGTGTTTCACCGTCTCACGAGCACTTGCGCCGACTAGCACGAATTTCTCAGCAAAGCACCACCGCGCATCGGTGGAACGATCCCACGGCCGTGCGCTGTGGTGGTTGTCGTTGGGCAAGTCGAGCCCGTTCCCCGCGTATCGGATATCCGCCACGCGCTTGCAAGGGCTAATCTGTGTAATGTTGGCAAGGTTGGCTTCGTCTGTACTTGCAACTTGGACGGTTCGCGCCCGCTTGTGAGTGCCAGTGGCACGGATTCACGGGCATTTCGTTGAAGCGCAGAGGTGGCCGCTCATTTCTAGTGCCATCTCTCACCGCCCGTGCAGACAGGAAGTCTGTCGTCGAACGCACTGCGTGCATTTCTGGTTCAACTCGCATGCGCGCACTTGGCTGCCCGCGGGTGGCTGCGCTGTGCGTTTTTCGCACGTGGGGTGTGTGACCTGCTGCGGGCCCGCAGAGTCCGAACGGTGCGAGCGACCCACTGCGCCCGCGAAGGTTCCGAATCTTGTTGCCTTCTGTCCAGAGCTGGAGGGAGATGAGGAACCCTTCCTCAGAACTGGGAGGCGGATGGACCTCCTGCCCTGACACGTCGACTAAGGAGGTGGCCGTTTTCGGTTCGCGAGAGGGCGTTGCGGCCGTCATTTTTGCGGGTCCAGGTCCGTCGGTTTCGGTCTTGGGCCGTTTTCGCTGAGGGGAGGTTTACTAAAAAGGGAGGTTTGTCCACCGCCGAAACACCTTCCTGCCCCCCTGACTGCAGCAGTGTGGGCCTGATCCGTCCCGGCCTCGGCCCCTGAGCGCGTGGGTGTGAGGCGAAGCTTGCTCCCGAGTTTCCCCTCTGTGCGCCCACCAGCTCTCGGGACTGGGCGAAGCGACCGGAACAGGGCTTCTTCTCGGTTCTTTTCCTTTCTGCCCCCCCCCCCCTCCCTCCTAAAACGGCGCGAAGATCGGGACAAAATCGGATCGGGATAACTCGAAATCTCTGAGAATCGGCGGGTTTGGAGGATGTACTGGGCGCCGCGGCCGCTCCAGAGCGTTCCGGAGCGCTCCGGAACGCTCTGGAGCGATTTATCCCGATCCTAGCCCTGTTTTACCTCCCCTCCTCTTTCCCCCTCGCCCGGCGCGCGCACCGCGAGCAGGGAGGGCACCGCGAAACGACGAGCAGCCCGCCTGGCGCTCGCCGCGCCGCCGAGGTGCGGCGCGCGGCACCGTGGGGTTGCCGCCTTCCGCGCTCTCTGTCCGTCTCTCCCTCTCTCTCTTCCTCTTCTCTCTCTCTCTCTCTCTCTCCTCGTCCATCATCTCTCTCTCCTCTCTCTCTCTCTCTTTTTCTCTCTCTCTCTCTCTCCTCTCTCTCTCTCTGTCTCTCTCTCTCTCTTTTTTTTTTTTTTTTTCTCTCTCTCTCTCTCTCTCTCCTCTATCTCTCTCTTCTTCTCTCTCTTTCTCTCTTTCTCTCTTTCTCTCTCTCTCCCTCCTCCCTCTCTATCTCTCCCTCTCACTCTCTCTCTCTCTCTCTCCTCTCTCTCTCTCTCTCTCCTCGCCTCGTCCATTATCTCACACGCGCCGCTTGTGGTGTCGTGCCTCACTGGGGTGCAGTCAAGAGGCCGAAATAGAGGAACACTTTGGGCTCCGAAGGGGCTCGATATTCCCCAGGTCCTGCCGTGGCTCTTCCTCTAGCTATCCTCGCCCACGCCGGCGCTGCTGGCGCCAGAAGAAGGGCCTGTTCAACGTTCCTCATGTCAGCGGCCCGACTGCGGTGAGGCCAGCCATCCAGACCACGGGGCTCGGTGGCGCCGCTCGTGCCCGCGCCCCACCGCGCCACGCCTCCACCGCCTCCTCTCTCCTCTCCCACCTCCTCCTCCCTCGCCCCCTTCTTCTCCTCTTCCCTCCTCCCTCCCTCTCCTCTAATGTCGCAGGCCTAGAGGTTGTTACCAACACCAACTTCGGCGTTGTGCATCCGCCGAGGGACGAAGATCCCAACCTCTCGGTGATGGCGTGAAGGCTCTGGCTCCCAAGGTGACCGAAACAGTACCGCCAGCACCGACGCCTAGGATCTTCTCCTTCCCCTGTGGAGGCAACCCCTTGTGTCGGTGTTGGTGCCCATTTCCAGGCCTCCAATCATTCTGGACGCCCGAGATGGGCACGGAAAGAATGGGTACGATGCCCAACAGCAGCTCCTGTTCATTTTGAACAGGATTCGCTGTCCGCGCCGCCGCGGCCCGTGTCCATTCGAGACAGAAGGCCGCCTGCCCAACAGCGGCCGCTGTTGGTTTGGGACAACATTTGTTGTCGGGCATTGTACCCATTTTTTCCGTACCCATTTCGGGCGTCCAAAATCATGACTAAACCGCGTTTTGTTGAAGGGAGGTCTGTCCATCCCCGATTGTGCCGGTGTTGGTGCCCATCTCCAGGCCTCCGATCGTGACCCCACCGCCCCGGCGTGAGAGGATCAGCGCGGTCGTCCTCATCCTGAACTTCGCGCGGGCCCTACGTGCGCGGCCGACGGGCGGCCGCCGGCCCGGTGCCGCCACGGGGGCGCCCTGGACGCCGGGGGGAGGGCTCTCCCGACGCACTGCTGTGGCTAGTCTTGTTTTGTTTCCACTCCTTCGAAGGCGGCAACCGGGTTTTGGACCATGGTGTTTCGAGGCGCAGTCTGGGGCCCGCCGCTTTGGAGCGTCTATTTTCACGGTGCGAGCACTGCCCTTCGAGGCTTATATTTTCTTGACATCATGCACGCTGACGATCTCAACGCGGCAGACCTCCGACGGCGTGCTTCTCTTGACCCCGGAGCTGTTCCTTCGGCTTGGCTCTCCATGGGGATCGCCTTCGGGCCCAGGGGCTGCCGCCATGGGGGCGCCCTGGACGTTAGAGGGAGGGCCTTCCCAGGCCTCCGACGGCATGCTCTTCTTGATCCCAAACACTGTTCCTTCGGTTTGTGCCTCCGGGGATCGTTTTCGGGCCCCAGGGCCATCCGAAGTGGATCCGGGGCGAAAAGTTGGCCCCTGGGAAGGGGTCGGGACCTCGATTTCGGGCCGAGCATGGAAGAATTCGCACTTTCTCGCTGACTTCGTGATCTATTCACTGTTTGTCACTTTAAACTGGTGGCGGCTTCCAGTGGCGTAAAACCAGGGGTTGGGTATGCTGGCCAGGCCCGGATTGCATGGCCCCTCTCTCATTTCAACACGTCTTTTGGTCCGCGCATGTGCCTCGGGCCATACCTGTGAGCCCCCTCTCCTTGGCGCCCCCCTCTTGGCTGGGGCGCACCCGACGACTGGCGCCCGCGGATGGGCAATCTCACATCGCTGGATGTCTGGGTTTGGATCGGAGGTTGATGGACCTCCTGCCCTGACACGTCGATTAAGGAATTGGCCGTTTTCGGTTCGCAAGAGGGCGTCGCTGCCGTCATTTTTCCGGGCCAAGGTCCGTCGGTTTCGGTCCTAGGCCGTTTTCATTAAGGGGATTTTGAACCCGGAGAGGCAATCAAGAAACCCCCCCCGCTCTCCGGCGAAAGTATAACGCTCCAGCACCCTGGACGCCTTACCCTGGCACCTCGCAACCTGCTTGGAACGCAGACGAGCCTGCCCGCCGAAATAAGGAGACCGCCCGAAGCACTCGCTCAGTGTTTCAGACTGGAGTTCCAGCCGCCCGCGCAGGCTGCTTCGAATCCTACACGTCGCCATCGTCGTCATTCGGGGGTGGACAGAACCCCCAACAGTGACACGTCGATTAGTGAATTGTCCGTTTTCGGTTCTAGAGAGGGCGCCGCGGCCGTTATTTTCCAGGCTTGCGCCCGCCAGGTTTGGGTCTCAGGTCGTTTTCACTAAACCACGTTTTACTAAAGGGGGGTCTGTCCATCCTGGAGAAGTCCCGAGTCGGTCGGGTGAGCGCATGCCCAGAGGTCGGGCGGCCATCGGCGGCCTCCCCTCCGGCGGCCACCGGCCGCCTTCGGCGGCCCTCGGCGGCCTTCAGTAAGACACTCGGGTGCACTCGGCGGCCAGCGGTGGGCTGCGGCGGCCACTTGCTGGCAGGGGCTCCTCTGTGTCTACTCTTGGTGCGCCGATCCTGGTCCCAGGGCTGGCCTGGCCAGGATGGGCGTGGGTCGGGGGCGCGGGTCGGGGCCGTTGGTGGAAACCAGGGCCCGGGCCGCGAACTCCCCGTGGCTCCCATTGCCCTCTCTTCCTCTTCTTATTATTATTCCTCTTCTTCTTCTTCTTCTTCTTTCAGCGCGCCCCCTCCTCCTCCTCTCCTCCTCCTCCTCCTCCTCATCCTCCTCCTCCTCCTCTCCTCCTCCTCATCTCCTCCTCCCCCTTCCTCCTCCTCCTCCTCCTCCTTTTCCTCCCCCTCCTCCTCTTCTCCTCCTCCTCTTCCTCTCTTCCTCCCCTCCTCTCCCTCTCCTCCTCCTCCTCCTCCTCCTCCTCCTCCTCCTCCTCCTCCTCCCAGTCCGCGCAAGTGCCTTGGGCCACGATGTGCGCCCCCCTCCTCTCTCTCGGAGGCCCCCCCCGCTCTGCACGCCCCCTCCTTGGTGGGTGCATCGTCGGGGCCTCCCCGCACGGGGGGCCTCCCTGCGGTGCACTCCCGGGCGTCCCCCCTCGCGCCCGCCGCCGGCGGAAGGAGCCGGGAGCCCCCGAACCAGGCTGTGATATATCAGGTTGTGACCTGGGATCCCCCTGGGACTGACCCGAGCCTTCGGTAGGCGCCGTGGCCGCTTCCAGAAGGGTTTCGGAACGCTCCGCGGGCATGCGGCCGGTGGAGCGATCTAGTCTCGTCCCGATCCCTCGTCCTGCCCCCTCCTGGACCCCCGCCCTCTGTGGCAACTCATGGGGGCGAATCGACGCTGACCGACGCAACTCGACGCTCAATGTGCGCTTTCTCACCTCCTCCTCCTCCTCCTCCCTCTCCTTCTCCTCCGCTGGGTTTTGGGACACGAGGGCCACCGCCGGGTTTTGTGGCTCCTGGACCCTGGACCCACCAGCATCCGGGGCATCATCGAAGAACCGCACGTCTCCAAAGCAGGTGGTGGCACCAACTCGCCTGAGACTCACCGCCAGGTGTTGTCACCACCACGTCTGGGGACTACCAAAGGAGGCATGCCGACGCAGGCCGTCGTCCGTCGTCCTTCTTCCGTCCGTCCACCCTCGTCGTGGTCTGTCGCCCGTCGTCGTCCGTCGTCCGTCGTCGTTTGTCCGTCCTTGGCGTCGTCGTCAGTTGTGCGTCGTCTATCGCCCGTCGTCGTCCGTTGTCCGTCGTCGTCCTTCGTGCGTCGTCGTCTGTCGGCCGTTGGCGTCTGTCGGCCGTCGTCGTGAGCTGTCCGTCGTCGGCATCTCCCTCCGTCGTCGTTCGTCGGTCGCCGTCCACCGTCGTCCGCCGCCGTCCTCCGTCGGTCGTCCGTCTTCGGCCCCGCTGTCCGGCTTCCTGCGCGCGGTCGTGGAGGGCGAGGAGGGATGCGCCGAGGTGCTGGCGATCCTGCTGACCGTGTTTGTCGGGTGGCCCCCTTGCCAGACGAACTCTCTTTTGGGATTCCATTCCCGGGAGGTTCACTTCAGATTCGGCTCCGGTATGTATGCCCCTGGTCGAAAACGGGCCCAATCTGGCTGAATCCCGCCTCTGGTTCAATCCTGCCTAATCCGCCTCAGCATTGGGCTTAAATCTGGCCCGGTCTGGCCCGGAGGACCGGGATCAACCATTCTCAATCGTTCTGAAGAAGACCTCCCAGTTGCTGCCTCCTACAGTCAACCCGCATAGTAAGGACGGGCAACCTTCCCAAGGGTACCCTTGCATCCTTGCCTCCTCGGTCCATCCTTGGCCACTTTGGCTGACCTCGCCCCGCTCGGAAAACTTCGAAATGAGTTTCCAAGGCCCTTGCATCCTCGTCGCGCATCCTTACTATAGGGTTGACTGTACCACCTTCTCTTTGTCTGCTTCCTCTCCGCGGCGAACCCAGGAGGGAAGCGAGAGGGGGCATCCCCCTCAGAGGGCGGGCGGCCTCTCGGAAACCTTCGCGCCTTTGAGGAGGAGGATGAGGAGGATGAGGAGGAGGAGGAGGAGGAGGAGGAGGGAGGAGGAGGAGGAGGAGGAGGAAGAGGAGGAGGAGGAGGAGGAGGAGGCGGAGGCGGAGGGAGAGGCGGAGGCGGAGGCGGAGGAGGGGAGGAGCATTGCAGGCCTTCTCCGAAGCCTCAGGCGGGTCTCTCCGAAGGCGCGAGGTTGCCCGAGCACCCGCGCCGCCTTCCTGAGGGGGCCCGTCCCCTCTCGCTGCCCCCCCCTGGGGCTCGCCGCCGGCTCTCTTCTCCGTGTCTGCTTCTTGCTGCCATCGCACAAGAGAACAACGGCACAGCTCAGTATCATTTATCCGACCCCGACTTCGTATGGACGGGCGGGCGCAGGGGGGGACTAATCCACTGAACGTCCCTCCCCCGACTTCGTATGTTGTCACACGTTCTGCCCGGGAGGCCACACACGCCGGGACGGGGCCGCAAGCACGAAGGCACCTTGGGCTCGGTGCGACGGGGGGCCCAGCTATCTCTTGGGCCCCTCTTGGGTCCTTCCTGGGCCTCTCTTGGGCCATCTCGGGCTCATCTTGAGGCCTCAGAAGCGCATCGGAAGCCAGCAGGCGAGAAGGCACAACGCATGGATCTCTCACGGGTTTCCAGGGGTTACGAGAGCACCCGGATCCGTCTCGTGGCCTCAGCCGGGCTTCTTCGAGGCATGTCGGACGCTACCTCGCTCGAATCATCTCCGGCCATCTTGAGCTGCCTTGGAGGCCAGCCTGGAGCACCGGAGGCCCTCCTGAAGCCGTCTTGGGCCATCTTGGGCGCCCTGACCGCTCGCGGCCCACCTCCAGAAACCTCGGGGAGGGGAGGGGGAGGGGGCCCCTCCCCGGAGGGAAAAGCGTTTTGGAAGATGTCAGGAAGGCATCGCTAGACCACCTACACTCAGAGGGCTGGTTGCCCTCCTGGAGAGCGTCGTGAAGGTGTCTTGAAGCCTCTTGGAGTCCTCTTGGGACTGACTGGGCGCCTCCTGGAAACTGCCGAATGCCTCGCCGGCTCTGTGACGTCCTGGGGCCGTTCAGCAAGCCATGGAACGCATTTCGGAAAGCATCAGGGAGGCGTTGGGGTGCCCAGGGGGCCTCGGGAGGGAGGGCCGATGCACGCGATAGTGTGCGAGGAACCGAAGCCCTGCTGTCAAGACGCTGGACCTACTGGCCACACCGCTCGGGAACCGATCCACTGCAAGGTGGGTACAGTAGGTTTGCGTCGTGTCGACCAGCGACGACCCCGCCGCCGGCGTTCAACTTTGAACGCCGCGGGGGACCCATAATCGTTCGATGTGGAACGATTCGGACGTTTCGGAAGCTGCCGATCGTTCAAGGTTGAACGATCTCCGCGGTGTCAGGAACCAACGCCGAAGTCGGCACGACATGAACTTGCCGTACACTAGATGTTCGGGTCGGACGCGCGCTTCCAAGGAGGACATGTGGTATTGGGATGATGCCTCTGCGCGTCCCATCTCAAGACGCTGGCATGAGAATCGCCTTGGGCTCAGCACGGGCTCCGAGTGTCTGGCCTTTCCTCTTCGAGTTGGGTCGGCGGCCTCGTGCGCGGGCGCGCCCGCCGTGGCCAGAAAGGGGGGCCCCTTTCGCTCGTTCTGCTGCCCGTGGTCCGTGTTATCAGCAGGACGGCTGGCCCAGACTGCACTCGTCCGTCGACCACTCCTCGGCCTGCCAGGGGGGGCACCGACTCACCAAAGATGGGGGCCCAAAGCATGTACACCACCACCACGTCGATTCCTCCTCTAATCCTCTGTCCAGCGAGGGGGAGGGGGGCAGGGAGGAGGTGGTGGTGGTGAATATGGTTTGGTCCCCCAAAAGACATGTCTTCTGGGGGGCCAGCAACCAGCCCAGGCTCCGCCTGGTCCTTTCTGGTGATTCATCATGACCGAACGAATCGCATAGCTTCGCCGGCGATGAATCATTCCAGTTTCTGATCTATCAGCTTCCGACGGTAGGGTATTGGCCCACCGTGGCAATGACGGGTGACGGAGAATGAGGGTCCCTTTGGCAGGGGACCGCTGCCGGGAGGGCCAGGAACACCGGGGACGGGGAGGCTTTTCCAGCAGACGCGCCGAGGCGCGCCGCCCGGAGTCGTGGTCCCCAGATGCGGCGGTGGGGGCCTCGGGGAGGCCACGTCCTCGTCGTGTTGTGCGGGTTGGGGTCACCGTGCCGTTTTTAATAATGCTCCGCGTGCGGATCATGTAGTAAACATGCAGGGGTTCAGTACGAAAAATATGCACAACGATGAGTTCATGCATAAAGTTATTAATAAAAACAATCATGCATTAAACATCCTATATATTTCAGAATCCAATGTATAACAAACTGCCCTGTATGATGTTCCAACCTACTTTAGCCTTGACCACCAGAAAGAATTTCAGGAAAGCGCGAAATTGGATGGTTTTCATCTGTCCGTCCCCGGGAGGCGATGCTCGTTCGGCACCGTGACGACACATTTCTAGGCGCTCGGAATTATTTCTGGGATGTGGTCCTGAAGTACGATGGGAGCAACATAAGGTTAGGGTTTCCTTTGCTCTCGATGGGGCACGGTCGTGAATTTGCACGCGAAGGCTGCTGTTGCACTGTAGCTCCGTCGGTGGCCTTGGCTTTGCTGGTCTGTCGCTGCATGCGCTCCTCAGCCAGGCAGAACGCTGCCATGTGGGAGGCCAAGGCGGCTTGCATGTGCTGGTTGCAGACGATGTTTGTTTTGTGGGATAATTGGAGTTATCAGTGCGTTGATCAGTGCGTTGACATTATGTATCCCGCTACATTATGTCCACTCCACTAATTACCGAAGCGACAGAAGCGAGGGACGTGCAAGTAGATCGCCCATGATCATGAGACGCCCACTCCGAAGAGCTCGCGCAGTGCTCTTTTTGACATTGGCAAGGGGATCATTATCGCCGCTTCTGTCTGGCGCTTTGGCGCCATGAGGGGGGGGGGCAGGAAGAGAGTGGAAGGGGCATGGTGGCCAGGAGGAGTATTTACTAGTGGTGATCGAGGTGGTGGCAGTGACGGCAGAAGTGCAGTCGTAATCGTAGCATCAGTTGTGGTTTGTAGAAGTAGGGGAAGGAGAGCAGTCGTGGTCGTTTTCGTATGGGGTTGCGTTCGCCTCTCTTGTCAGCATTCGTTGCTGCAGAGCTCGTAGAAGTAGTGGTTGCCATAGCGATTGTGAACGTACTTGCATTAGAAGGTGCAGTGGTAGTCGTCGTTGCACCTGCACCTCGTGGTGTGGATCGCAGCGCCCAGCGGTCTTACTGGTGCCCCTGTTGGTGTTGGGAGGGTCATCTTCTTATTTCCGTAGCCGTTTAGGCTCAATAATCTACGCGCCTTGGTGGTTCGTGCTTGCTTGGACCCGTTCCATCCCCCCACATCATTTGAACAGTTGCGTGCTTCCAGTAAGGACTCAATGGAGGGCGGCCATTTCGTCACCCCCAACCGAAATCTTCAAATATGGGGTTCGATTTCAATTGGGGTTCAGTATGAAGGGGTGCCGTCCCATGCGAACATAAACCAATTGAAGTGTGCTGTATGCTTCACAGGGAAAACAATGCAAATGGCGCTCATTCCGTTCCCGCAGGCAGTTCAAGCATTCTGTTTGTTTTCAATCGGAGTTCCTTTGGGAGGGTGGCCATCCCATCCAGCCCTCCGATTTCTCAAATTAAATTATTCTCCAGTCAGGGTCCAGGAAGGGTAGGTCATCCCACAACCCTTCTTATAGCCATTTTTAGTGCTTAGTTGGAGGGAGACATCTTTGGACTATTTTAAAATGGTTTGGAAGGGGGAGGATGCGATGGGCCTCATTTATATTGACATTCAATGTGCTTCCAATGAGGATTCAATAGAAAAGACGGCCATCCCGCCCCTCCCTCACAGAATTCTTGAAATATCGGGTTTGTGTTCAATGGGGGTTCAATCGGAATGGGCTCGTCAAAACTTTCCACAGCAATTGAAGTCTCTTGTTGGTTGCTCTGAGAGTTAAATGCGTAAGTATTGCGCCCGTCTCGCCCCCACAGAAAGTTTAAGCATTTTTTGCCTTCAACAGGGGTCTAATGAAAAGGGCGGTCATCCTATCCCCCTTCACGCTGTTTGGGATACCTTGTTTGTTCTCCGTCCCAACACCCTCATTCTATTAATTGCCGTGGTTTGCTCATTTTCATTTGGCATGAAGCAGCATCTTTGAGTTATGTGGGGGGTAGGGGTGGGGGTGGGTGTCAAGCTAGCCAGCTCGAGCGAGTCAAGCATGGCATGCCCATTCCTACCCGCCCTCCCACAACATAAGAAACAGTGATGGCACAACTGGGGGCTGCGCGGGCATTTCAGTGTCGCAGGTCCCAGAGCGCTGACTTCCAGGTCCCAGAGCGCCCCAGGAACGCCCCAAGAGAGCCGAGACGCCCCCGAGACGATCCGAGGGGCCTTGAGTCGCCGAAAGATCGTTCCAAGACGCCCAAGATGGCCTCCAGACGGCCGCAGACGCCGCCAAGAAACCGCGGGGAGCCTCAGGAGGCCCTCCAAGAGCCTGGACAAGCAAAAACCTCCCAGGCATTCGTCACCCCAGGCCTCCTGGAACGCCCCGGCGCCCAATGAAGTGGCGAGCTAAAAACGTGCGCCGAGCCAAAGCGGGAGCGCAACTTTGAGAAAATTTCGCTCGGCGCCCAAGCGGGAAGGTCATTTCATTTACTTCGAGCAGGGGGGGGGGGCCGCGCCCAATTCTTGCCATGCACTTTTGCGGGGTGGGCGACAAGAACAGCTATGTGGGCAGGGAAAATCAGCATGGCATTGTTTCTGACAAGAAAGGTGGCCCCTCCCGCCTTGGGGCTGCCCCAGAAGTCCGCGCGCGATGTGCGCCGCGCCCCATTCCTGCCACGCATTTCGCATCGTCGACGACAGGACAGGCCATGATGAAAGGAAAAACGGCAACTCTGCATTGTGATTTTTTTTACAGCCAGGATGGGAGGGCCCGCGGCCCGCATGGACGTCCGCGCGCGATGTGCGCCGCGTCCCATTCCTGCCACATATCTCGCACCGTCGGCGACAAGTGTGTCCCGCGGATTCTCTAGGGGCTCTTGCATCCCGCTGCTGCCTTCCCTGGGGTGTCTGCCGTTCGGGCCCGTGTCCGCCCTCTGGGACTCAGGGTACTCTTGCATCCCGGTGCTGTCGGTACAACGGAGACGGAGACATCATCCAATACATTGAGATCCACATGCTCCGGCGCTATTACCGGGATGTGGGAAGCTAAGTTGGAACCCGCTGTCTTCAGTTGCAGCGCCGGGATAAGGTGCGAGAGGGGTGGACACTGACAGCAGGCCCTGTCGCTGCCCGGCAAAAGCAGCAGGCTGCATCGGGGCCCTGCGTGACCTGTTACAGCAGTGGGGTCTGAGTGTGCGTGAAGAACGGTCAATGGCAGCAGGCTCTGTCTTAGCTCGGCGGGTGCGCCACCTATCCCACGAGTGCGGGGGCCTGACCGACGGGGGGCGCGGCCTTCCCCCCGCCTCTCTCCTTGGGGGCCCTGCGTGTGTCGCAACGCATGAGGCGGTGGCTGGAAGTGGCAGTGTACACTGCTCTTGCATTGGAGTCGGCGGCATGCCTCTGCGGCCTTTCTTGGGCACCCCCCCGTCAATAAGGGCTCAAACGGCGATTAGCTGCGACCCCCGAGGACCAACCACCCCCACTGTTCTGTCACTCTGCCGTTTCACATCAGCTGCGGTTTGCTGCGTCCCTGGAGGACCAACAACCGGACACACCTACCATCAATAGTGATCAGTGGCGATTAGCTGCGACCCCCGAGTAAATGAAAGGAACCAACAATCGGGCACACCAACCAACAAATTCAGATCATAGCGGCGATTAGCTGCGACCCCCGAGGTGGTTAAAGAGAGATCTCAGCGGCGATTAGCTGCGACCCCCGAGGAGATTAAAGGGATATCATAGCGGCGATTAGCTGCGACCCCCGAGAACGATCCAAGAGATGACCATGGCCCCTTGCCCTCGGATTCGGGGCCAGGCCGAGGGGAGAGGCGGTGCTTCCCCTTGTCTCTCCCCTCTCGGGCCAGGCGGGTGTCCCCCGCCCTTGGCCTCGGGGCCTGCCTGACGTACTGCTGACGTCGGTGTGGTTGCCCCCCCCTCCCAGGGCCGCCCGTGTTCTGCGTTGCTCGTGATCTGGTTCATCACTCTCAGCGTCGTTTGCGTCGGCCCTGGGGGACCACGTGGTGTGCGTAGGCTCACGGGTCTGGGGGGCAGTGCCAAGCGGCGGACTGGGCCAGGCTTGCCTCCTGGCCCCCGTGTCCTCCACAGTGAAGCTCCCCCTGGCGCTTCGCCACCGCAGATGGCAGCACTACCCCGGTGCAGCCCCCCCCTAACCCCCCCCGCTGGCGATGCTCACCGCGCCAGGTGGTCCTCCCCCCCTCACTGAGGCCTGACCCTGTGCCTGCACGCGCTGCGTGGCCCACAGTCGCTTGGGTCCCCCGTGCCCTGTGGGGTGGTCTTTCGGGTGTTGGTGTCGCCATGGAGTGGTTCAGCCTTCCGCAGCTGGTACAGCACCCCACGCTTTGACGGACTTGGTCATCCTGGTTCTCGTCTCGCGACGGGCTTGGTTTCGCGGTTCACGTCTGTGGCAGGCACCGAATTCTATGGCATTTTGTCTGTGCACGTGCAAGAGCTCCAGGATCAGGTCACTTGCACTGTCTGCCTCTCTTCAGCTTCGCGGCTGCTTTGTGAGCGGGCCGGCCGGCCTGTGCCTGTTGTAGCTAATTAGCCCCGTACCGTGATCCGGACGCCGCTTCCGCTCCCTGTCCGTTGCCTTGGAGCCGCTGACCCAAAAATCTTTAGCAGCCCATTTAGACACGATTACCAGGTGAGTCGGTTAATCAGGGATGGCTGGTAGCATGCGGTCGCACAGCCGTTTTGGAAACGTCAAAACTGGGCTCGCAGTACCCTGGGCCAGAAAACAAAAACCACAAATAGGTTTGCGCAGAGCGGATTAAGACAAAACTCAGCGCAAGATGCGCCATTGTGTTCCTTGTGATGAGCGTCTCTGGCGCAGGTTGCTGTGTCTAGGATCCGACGCCAATGTTGCGCAGATTGGCATTTCATCTCGATGGGCATCCTTGATCTTAGCCCTTGCACTGGTTTGTATCTTAACCTCGCGTGCGTTTCGACATTTCTTAGATGCTGGTGTTGCTGCCGGTGCTGCTGCTGATGTTGTTGGTGCTGCTGCTGTTGATGCTGTTGCTCGTGCTGCTGCTGCTGCTGCTGGTGCTGCTGCTTGTGGTGCTCCTGCTGGTGGTGGTGGTGCTGCTGCTGGGACCATCTTGGGGGTAGGAGGAGAAAGAGGCGGAGGATGAGGAGCAGGAGGAGGAGCAGGAGGGGAGGAGGAGGAGGAGGAGGGGGAAGAGGAAATGGAAAAGGAGGAGGAGGAAGAGGAGGAGGAGGAGGAGGAGAAGCAGGAGCAGGAGCAGGAGGACAAGTAAGAGCATAGTTCGAGGAGGAGGAAAAGGAGGTTGCCATCTTTGGCTCTCTAGGGCCCTCTTGGAGCCGTGTAGGACCATCTTGGACGCTGCTATGAGTCACGCCCAGGGTAGCGGGGGAGGTACACCTCCCAACTAGGGGAGGAAGGAGGTTGGATATGCAGGGTCACTGCTGGGTCTTTGCAGGGTGATTTTGCTGGGTCTTCGCAGGGCCATTGCAGGGTCTGTGGGGCCCTGTTGGAGCTCTTTGGGGGGGTCTACGAGGCCTCTTGGGGCCGTCCTGGCCCCCGTTGTTTAGAAAAGGAGGGCTCTAATTCGGACCGCCCCCTCGGAGGCTCAACGATGCAGTCTTGAGGCCCTCCCGGGCCGCTCTCGGAGCGTTCCTGGGCGCTCTTGGGGCCGCCTTGGGGCCCTCTTGGGCCCCCCCTTGGGTTTCTCTTGGGCCGTCTTGGGGCCACATTGATGCCCCAAGAACCCATCAGAGGCAAAACAGCGAAAAGGCAAAACACGGTGATTGTCCTTAGGTGATTGAGGGGATTTGGCCTCTTGGGGGGGTACTCAGAGGGCTCGGAGGGCACTTGAAACCTTCTTGGGACGGTCTTGAGGTCTCTTGGATGAGTGTCGGAGGCTATCATGAGCCATCTTGAGCTATCTTGAGCCATCTTGGAGGCCATCTTGGGGTCTTTGGGGCCGGGCCCTCTTGGAGCCACCTTGGGCAAAAACAGAGAAGATCTGACACATCGGGGCTCCGCCGTCCAGACCCAGGGAGGAGGGGGGGAGGTACGCCTCCCGAGCAGGGAAAGGAAGGAGGCTGGAAAAGGACTTGCTCTAGACCACCTGCGCCCAGAGGTCTGGTGGGATTACAGTCGCAGGATTCGTCGTCGTTGTTGCGCGGTTGCAGTTCTAGTCGCATTCAGGCGGACGGGCGGGGAGGAAAAAAAGGAATGTGCAGTGCCGCGAGGCTGACGAGGTAAATTTGTGGTTCGGCTCCATATGCAAGTCGATGCAGACGCTGTTCTTGGTCATGACGCTCTCTGGTTGGGACACGCGGCCGTTTTGACAGGGCCTCGTCCTTGTCAAACGTCAATATTGTCCCCTCCCGCCCGTTATCCTGTCCCCCATGTTTTGTCCCTTTCCCCCTCGTTCCACTGCCCCTCCCCCCTGTCCCCTCCAGTTTTTGGTACAAGCGGATGTTCGTTTATTCGTTCGTTTGGAAGCGTGTCAGTTTTATTATGCCCACCCCGCTTTTTCGATCCCCTACCGTGTATAAAAAAAAACACATTGGTTCGGGCATGTATTGCGAAGGCCTTACGGCCGGTGCCGCCGACCCTGAATGGCGACGACGACGACGACGACGACGACGACGAGCGCTCTTGGGGGCCTCTTGGGGCTAGTTTGTGGGCCTCTTGGGAAGGTCTTAGTATAAAAAACATGGGTTCGGGCATGCATTCTTTCACATCGAAACGTGCTCGGTGCTTCAATGCCCTGGCGATTCGCGCATCCCCAGCAGCCCATCGGGATACGATGCCCAGTCGAGCGGAAGACGGCAGCAAGGACGAGTCAGCCAGCACGTCGACGCGGAGGTGTTGCTCCGTGAGCCCCTGGTAGCCTTGTCGGCGGCTTATCTGGAAGTCTCTGGTACCCATCTTGGCGCCGTTTTGGGTTCTAATGTTCCAAGTTGCTCCAGCCTTGACCACCAGCAAGAATTTCGAGCACCAAGAAGACGCCGAAACTGGGGACTTTCACGTGTCGGGCCCTGGGAGGCGATGCTCGTTCGACGCTGTTTCGATATTTTTCTGGGTGCTCGAAATCCTTTGTGGGATGTGGTCCTTCAGCACGCCGGGAGCAAGATAAGTCTTGGCGCCATATTGGGCCCTTTTTCCTCCTCGCGCTTGCGACGCGGGCCCCCACAACAACCGACATCGCCGGCGTGCTTGCGGGCCGAACGCTCTGCGACGAGCAGGCAGGCGCGCAGACACCTCGGATAGATGCTCTGCCGCGGCCGTATAGACTGTTTGGTTCTCCCAAGCGCCGGCGGAAACGCGGGGCAAGCATTCAGTGAGCACTCCGCTGCCTACCCGAAGCGCTGGTTCTCCTAAGCACTGGCGGAAATGCGGGGCAAGCATTCAGTGAACCCTCCGCTGCCTGGCTAAGGCACTGGTTCTCTTAGGCGCTGGCTGAAATTCGGGGCAAACATTCAGTGAACACTCCGCTGCCTGACCAGAGCACTTGTTCTGGCAAGCGCTGGCGAAAGGTAGGGACAAACCTTCAGTTGACATCCCGCTGTCCAAGTAAGCGCTGACATTAACGAGGTTTGGTCCAGACCTCCCTCCTACTCTCATCAACCTTACTGTCCGCGAATCTCGTGGTACAGCGTGTGGGCGAGGTCAGAAAGTTGTTATTTCCCCCTCTTGTTTCTGGGATTTACGATAAGCGACCAACCTCCATCCAACCTTCATGATTTACCCTCATCCGCTCGAAGGTTCACTCTGTTCCATTCTGGCCCTCTTGGTGTCCTTTTGAGGCTCTTCGGGGTGGTCGTGGGACCCATGAGTCAATGAGCCTGGTGAAAGGCACAACCGTATGCAGTTGTGGGTAACACAGCTGTGAGTATCGTCTTCGGTGGAGCGCCCTATCGGGCCGCGAAGCGTGCGAGGTTTGTGCCGCCGAAATGGGTTCGGCGGGCGCATCCGAACGCAGCCACAGGGGCGTTCGGTGAAGCTCCATGTAGGGCCACGAAGCGTGTGAGGGGTGTGCCGAATTGGGGGTGACGCCCACACGCAAATTGTGCCATTGGGGCCCTAAGTAGTGTTCCCCATGGGGCCACGAAGCGTGTGATGGGTGTGCCGCAACGGAGGTGAATCCTACATGCGAACTGTGCCATTGGGGTGTCAACTGAAGCTCTCTGTGGGGCCACGAAGCGTGTGATGGGTGTGCCGCAACGGAGGTGAATCCTACAAGCGAATTGTGCCATTGGGGCCTCAGGCGGAGCTCCCTGTGGTGCCACGAAGCGTGTGATGGGTGTGCCGCAACGGGGGCGATGCCCACACGCGAGCTGCGCCCTGGGGGTGCCACAACGGTTGACACACGGAGGGCCGAGGCATGGATGTGAGGAGCGTGGAGGCGGGAGGAAGGAGGTTGATGGGCCTGTTTTCCACCACCACCACCATAGGCTGGAGTGGGGAAGGAGGAGGAGGCGGAGGAGGAGGAGGAGGAGGAGGAGGAGGAGGAGGAGGAGGACTCCCTCCCCCTCCAATTTCTGGTGGTGGTGGTGGACAACAGGCCCATCAGAGGTGGGACACGGGGCGCAGGAGGATGGTTCGGAATTGAAGTGGAAGGAGGGCCTATGGCTGCGCAGCATAAAAGAGCCCCTGGCGGATTTCTTGAGCGGATGGCAGGGGTAGGGGTGAGAGGTGGGAGGACGGAGGAGGCAGCGGGAGGAGGAGGAGGAGGAGTAGGAGGAGGAGGAGGCGGAGGAGGAGGAAGGAGAACGCGGGGCGCTGTCTCTTCAAAACGAGGACCCGACATCACGGGATGGTTGGGAAAAGAAAGGAAGGCTTTCATTGGCGCCCCCCCCAGTGGCGTCCGAACGATGTGCTTTTGGGGCCCTCTGTGGACGCTCTTGAAGCGCTCTTTGGCACTGTTTGGGCTGTCTTGGGGGCCTCTTGGACTCCTTTTGTAGCTCTCTTGGACCATCTTGGGGCAACCTTGCGGCCTCACAGGCTTATTGGGAGCGAAAAGGCGGGAAAGCCCAAACCGTTGATTTCCCTTAGGTTTTTTTATACACCAGATTTTGGCTTTTGAGTGGGTGCAATGGAAGTACCGGAGGGCACTTAGACCCGTCTTAGGGCTGTCTTGGAGCATCTGGGTGGTATGTCGGAGCCATCTTGAAGTATGTTTGGCTATTTTGGAGGCCATCTTGAGTTGTTTTGTGCCCTCGTTGGGCCATCTGAGGCAATCGTGGACGCTCCAATGGGTCCGTCCTCCCCCAGGGGGAGCAGGTAGGGGGAGGGGCCCTTGCCAGGTGCGCCACGTCCGGGGCACGCGCAGAGTGTGCCAGGTGCGCCCGCGCACCTGACAGCACACATCGGGAAACATGTTGGCCCCCACCATCCTTGTCAAAAACCAATGCGCAATCGCGGCGGGGAGGCCATCATGGTGTCTGGTGGGCCTGCACAAAGCAGGGAATATTCCAGGACCCCGGCGGCCCCTGTCAAACACCAATGGACTCAGATCGCGGGGCTGCCGCGCATGATTCAGATTTAGCCGCGACGTGCATGTTGTATTGTTCTTTTGCAGGGATGGAGGCCTTGCGCAAAGCAGGCAATCTGAGGGCACCCCGCCGCCCCGGTCCAAGAACAATTTAAAGCGCTCGCGGTGACCCAAGATTTTGCCGCAAAGTCTGTTTTGGCATTGGTCCTGGCTGGCGGGTGTTTAATCAATAACGAACAGTGATCTAGGGAACAGTGATCAGCTTAAAGTGGTATTCCCACCCGCCCCCCCAACACATAAGTAGTACCCGAGTCTTAGCATATTCAGCGGCCGTCTTTGATTGGGCAGCTACTGGAAACCAACGCCACGCGCAACAGGCGCCCAAGCAGGCCATGCAAGTTTGGTGCGCCAGATGCGCCACGTGCCCCACGTGCGCCAAGTATGCCGTCATTTTCCAGGCTTGCGCCCGCCAGGTTTGGGCCCGAGGTCGTTTTCACCAAACCACGTTTTACTAAAGGGAGGTCTGTCCATCCCCGAATGCTCCGACCTACTTTCGCCTCGATCACCAGACAGAATTTCGAGCACCAAGACTGTGCCGAAGCTCGAGGGCTTTCACGTGCCGGGCCCCGGGAGGCACGCGTCCGACACCGTTTCGACACCGTTTCGACCCTTTTGCGGTTGCTCGAGATTAGTTCTGGCTTCGTATGATGTGAGCATCATAGACCTAGGTGGGTTCCGAGCAGATGGGGTCGGAGGATCGCGCCGCATCGCCGACACATCGGCGATGCATCGGTGATGCATCGGTGATGCACCATCGACATCGTCTACGTCGGCGATGCAGCGGCGACGTCGACGTGAAGCAAGTCGGGCCCCACATCGAGCCGCGTCGGCGATGCATCGGCGATGCGGCGCGATCCTCCGACCCCATCCACTCCGACCCCATAGGGGAGGCCTAGGTTCATGGGAGCCTCATGGGGTTACGAAACTCCTTGCGGGTTTGGTGAGTTCGTCCAGACGTCGTCGGATTTGGCCGGTGTTTGGACGAAGTTTGGTCGAAGCCTGAACAGGTCTTGCCAGAGTCCGGTCGAAATCCAGTTTGTGGTATAGGGCCGCGGGTGTCCACGGGGCTCGCTCCCACGGAGGCTCACCCGGCCTCCCGAGGAGGACATCGCCGCCGTGCTGTCGGAGGTGTACCCGCCGGCGTCCGTGTCCGTGGAGGGGATCTCGGGAGCAACGCCGGGGGGTGTCGGCGGCGACGATAGGGGCGAATAGCCCAGGGGCGGGCATTATACGTAGTATTCGCCCGAGAGCCTCTTCGAAGGCACAGGTCATCGGCGCACCGGAGTACAGGTATTGCTCTCCCCTGGGCGGTTCGCCCCTCGTGTCGCTTCTGAGGGGGGGGGGGAGGATCGGCGGGGGTCGAGGTTCGAGGTTCTCTGGGGGGGCGCCTTCGCGGATCCCCGCCGGCATCGCCCGCCTCGGGCCGCCCTCCAGCACGCAGGGCTGGACCTGAACGGGGTTTTGTGCGATCTCGTGGGCCGTGTTTTCGTTTCGACTTCGCTTGGCGGCAAAAAGGCGGACTTGAAGACAAAGCGAAGGGAAGACGAAAGCAAAACGACAACGAAAAACACCGTTCAGGTTCAGCCCTGCTCAGCAGCCATCCCTGCCCCGTTCGCTCCCCTCTCTCTCTGGGTGCGCTTCCTGAAGGCTTCGCTCGTAGGGGGGGCGATTTATCACTCAGGAGGGACAAGAACACAAAGAGACACAATTTGTCTTCGATTCCCCCTCCAAAAGATGGGAAACTATACGAACTGGGGGGAGGACAGAACCGCTCCGCCAGCACGCCCTCGCCTCGCCGAGGGGCGGGGCCCCCGCGGCCCCGCGGGGGGGGCGGGGCGCCCCGGGCCCCGGCGGCCCGAGGCGCGGCCCGGAGGGAGAGAGAGCGAGGCGCGGGAGGGGTGGGGGGCGGCGCCGCGGCCGCGAGCGGCCCGCGGAGATCGCTGCGCGGCATCGCACTCGGAGCGCCTCGCCCCCGCTGGCACGACCCGCTCCCGGCGTCCCCCAAGCATACGGCAGGTTCGCGTCGTGTCGACCGGCGGCGACCCCGCCGCCGACGTTCAAGGTTGAACGCCGCCGGCGACCCAGAATCGGTCGATGTTGAACGATTGGACGTTGTGGAAATGGCCGATCGTTCAAGGTTGAACGATCCCTGCGGTGTCAGAAACCAACGCCGGGGTCGACACGACGCGAACCTGCCGTACTTCTGCTGTGTGTTCGTCGCCCCCCCAGGGGCGACGCGCGCGCCGAGAAGTCTCATGGTTTTGTGCGTCGTGGCGGGCGCTTCCTGGCCACGCCGCTCGAGAAACGATCTCTACCATCTGGACGCCCGAAGTGGGCACGGAAAGGACGGGTACCATGCCCAAGAGTGGATCTGGTTCATTCTGACCAGGACTCGCTGTGCTCGCCGCCGCGGCCTGTGTGTGTCCATTCGAGACAGGAGGCCGCCTGGCCAACAGCGGTCGCTGTTGGTTTGGGACAACATTTGGTGTTGGGCAGTGTACCCATCCTTTCCGTACCCATTTCTGGCGTCCAGATTAATGGAGAGGAAGCATGTTGCCAAACACTTCCCAGATGTCTAAAAGATGTTTCAAACAGGTTTAACACCTGTAGAAAATACATGATTTGAACCTGCTTCATGCTTTGAACATGTTTCACACATTTGAAAACACATCTTTGATTCAATGATCGGATTGTTGGAGTGTCCGTGGTCGTGGTATCCACAACGCTAAGGGTCAAGTCGGCCCGGTGGCGGCCCCAAGATAGGCCGAAGTCGAGACGCAGAGCCCAGGACGGCGGCTCTCTGTCGGCCGCGCTCGGCGGCCGCAGGCGCGTCTGCCGAGCCAGCCGATCGCGCCGGGCACGGGGCAAGCTTGCAATCGGCGCCGCCCCGACATACGAACACCACGTGCAAGTCGGGCCCGTCCCTCCACAGGAGGGATCTGCCAACATGGTCAACAGATAGTCCGGGGGTGATTTGTGGACCACTTTTGCTGCACGGTTTTTGAGGTTTTTTTTGCCCCAAGTCCCCCTGCAGGGCGCCGCCCCGACATGCTGATACTATGTGTAAGTCGGGCCTGTCCCTCCACAGGAGGAATCGCCCAGAATAGTTGGGAAAGGTAGTCTGGGGATGATTTGTGGACTATTTCTGGCAATTTTTTCTTCGCCCCAAGTCCCCCTGTGCAGTGCCGTTTTTTACTACATGCTCCGCGTGCGGATCATGTGTTAAACATGCAGGGATTTAGTACTAGAAACAACGATGAGTTCATGCATCAGTTTATTCATACATTAGTCATGTATTAAACATCCCATATTTTTTTAAAACATCCTATGTATTAAAAACTGCCCTGTAGGGGGACAGGCCCGACCCGATGACGGGGGCCCGGCAGCCCGCCCCTCTACAGGAGCGGGCCCGGCTCGCCGTCGGGGGCGCCTCGCCGAGCCGCCGACGCTGCCTCGCCCACGCCCGGGTCCTCTTGGCATCGCTCGGACGCGTGCATTTTTATCGGGGGCGATGACTAGGGGGGGGGATATTTAATGGCGGGTCCTTTTGGTATCGCTTGGACGTGTGCACTTTTATCGGGGGCGGCGAAGAGGGGAGGCGATGACTGGGGGGGGGGGGGATGTTCAATGGCGGGGGCAGTGACGTTCCCCCAGATCTTGTGGCGCCGCTTCTTGTTTTATGACGTCCCTGGCCCCCCCGCTGGGCCGCGCACGTGCCGCCGGTCACGATTTGCACCCCCCCCCTCTTGGACACCCCCCTCTTGGCCGCTCCCGACTTCTCCTCGGCGGGGGCTCTCAAGGAGCATCCTGGATCCTCCTGCGAAAAAAAGCCACGCACGGAACCGAAACAAAAAAAAGCGCAGGGAATGGACGTCCGAGCGATGGCCAGGGTCGTCGACGCTTCCCCCCCCCCCGAGCTTCCGGCCGAACGAAAGGGGGGGATAGGGAAAGCGGGGGTTACGAAATCTGCTGCATGCAGCTGATTTCGGCCCCGCCGCCGGGCCCATCCCTCGATACATGGGCGCCTCCCGGCGCCGGGAGGCGCCGGGAAAATCAGCTACGTGAGTTGAGCTGATTCTCCCCCCCCCCCTTTGCTATCCCCCCTTTCGCCCCCCCCCCCATGAGCTGGTCCCCTCCCCCCCCCCCGCGCCAAGACCGCGGCTGCCCTCTGCTTCGCTCTGCTGGGAGGCCCTGCCGGGAGGCTCCCGTCGCCACGGCCGGGCTCGTCTCGAGCAGCCCTGGATGCGGACCGCCTCCAGGGCGAGAGTCGGAGTCGGCGAGGGGGTCGTGGGCCAGCATCGGGGGCGGACACAACCCCCAACAGTGACACGTCGATTGGTGAATTGTCCGTTTTCGGTTCTCGAGAGGGCGCCGCGGCCGTTGTTTTCCAGGCTTGCGCCCGCCAGGTTTGGGCCTCGGGTCGTTTTCACCAAACCACGTTTTACTAAAGGGAGGGCTGTCCATCCCCGACAGCAGGGGAACAGAGGGCAATCGGAGGCTGACAGACCTCCTATCACATCGGGCTTATGTTCTAAGAACACTGTTGTGGTTATTAGAACATGTTTGGGTTCTGCAAACCTTTCATGGTAGGGCTATAGGAATGCCGGGACGGTCGGTCCCTGCTCAAGTGGTAGCACGTTCGGCCGTGTCGCCGATTCCTGGCCGATGTTTTTTGTTGGGGGGAGTTATCCTCGGGTTATCTCTGGGGTGGACAGACCTCCTACCCTGACACGTCGATCAGCGAATTGGCCGTTTTCGGTTCGCGAGAGGGCGTCGCGGCCGTCATGTTTGCGGGTCCAGGTCCGTCGGTTTCGGTCCTGGGCCGTCCTCACTGAAGGGAGGTTTACGAAAGGGAGGTTTGTCCATCACCGAGACAAGGTACCGATGCCGCTGCCCCTCCCTCATTTCTCGCCTTTCTGGGGCCTCTGGGGCGATTCTCGCCGCCACATCTGGACTTGAGAGGCCTGGGGAGCAGCAGTGTCGGTACCTCTCGGTGCCCCCATTTCCCGGCGGCTTGCAGAAGGGCGCGGCGGGAGGAGGGCGTGGCGGGAGTGGGGCTGTCTCCTAGGCATGCCAGTGGTTTCTTCTTAGCAAGGCTCCCTTTTTCTGAGAAGCCTTAGAGTACATGACTTCGAGCCACTCTAAGAACCCCCCTGGGCCTGCTAAGAAGGCATCTCCTTGTTCAAGCCAACTGCGCGCCGCTAGCGCGGAAGCGCAAACATGGATGAAGGCGCGTGGATCAGCGACAGGTCCCGCTTCCATGCCAAGTCGACGCGCTCCGTCGCCAAATCAGGCGGCGTTGCTGCGCGGGCGCCGGATCCACGGATCCGTCATCCATATTCAATTGTGCTCGGAAGTCTGGGGCGGTTTCTTCTTCCCGCCGGCGCTCGGGCGCCCGCGCTGCTGCATTCTTCCTAGAGCCACGCTTGGACGCGCAGTGCGGCGTCTTTTTTCTGTTTCTCTTTCTCTCTCCCTTTCCCTCTCTCTCTCTCTCTCTTCCTATCTCTTGCAATACGTCCCATGGAGTATCGACAGAGTCGTATGGTTCTTTAGAAACACGCACCAGGGCTCGTCTTAAAGAGTGTGTGATGCGTCTACTCTGCCACGATTGTGCAGACTTTCTGCTCATGTCCGACTGTTGCAAAGTTCGATTCCTCCAGGACTCCGTTATAGCTTTCTTCTACGGGCGCAGCCCGTAATTCGATTTTTGGGACGTGGGTTGACTGACTGATTGATTGACTGACTGAACTGACAACTGAATCACCAAAGCCGTTAGATGGCAGTACTATTTCCAGGGGTTGAGGATATTTCGCTGGCAGCTTGAGGCCAGGGGGTGAGGATATTCAGATGGCAGTTTTAGGCCAGGGGCGGTGAGGATATTTCGCTGGCAGTTTCAAGCGAGGGGTGTAGATATTTCGCTGGCGGTTGTAAGTCGAGGGGGGGAGAACATTGAGCTAGCAGTTTTAGGCCAGGGGCGGTGAGGATATTTCGCTGGCAGTTTTGAGGCCAGGGTGTGAGAGCACTTCGCTGGCAGTTTTAGGCAAGGGGGAGGATATTTAGCCGGCAGTTTTTGGCCAGGGGCAGTGGGGATAGTATTTCGCTGGCAGCTTCAAGCGAGAGGTGTGAGGATATGTCGCTGGCAGTTTTATGTCAGGGGCTGGAGGATAGTTCGCTGGCAGTTTCAAGCGATGGGGTGTGAGGGTATTTAGCTGGCAGTTTCAAGCGAGGGCTGTGAGGATATTTCGCTGGCAGTTTCAAGCGTTTGGTGTGAGGATAGTTCGCTGGCAGTTTTGGGCCAGGGGGTTGAGGATATTTCGCTGGCATTTTAAAGTCCAGGGGGTGATGATATTTAGCTGGCAGTTTCAGGCCAGGGGCGGTGAGGATCTTTCGCTGGTAGTTTCAAGCGAGTGGCGTGATGATATTTCGTTGACAGCCTTAAGCGAGGGGCGGTGAGGAGATGTCGCTGGCAGTTGCAAGGAGGGGCGGTGAGGACACGTTCCACACGCGCCAGGCAGCACCATGTGCCGCGCACGGGACGACGGGGGGGTGGATGGGTGAGAGGGAGGACGGAGGACGAGGACGCAGGGCTCGAGCTAGACGGTGTTTTGGCAATTTCGTGGACCGTTTTCGTTTTGACTTCGTTTTGCAGCACATGTGGAACGAAGTCAGAACTAGGGACGACGAAAACAAAACGAAAACGGAAAACACTGTTTAACTCGAGCCCTGCGAGGACGAAGAGGAGGTGGCGAAAGGGGGAGGGGTCGGAGGCGGGGCCCCTGCGAGGAGCCGTGGTGAGGTGCGGGCATCCGGGGGGCGCCACGCGCGGTGCCGCGCCGGGGTTCTTTGGCCCCGCCTGGCCCGGCCGAAGGCTACTCCGCACGCCACGCGGTGCTGCGCCCGCATACATCGGGGGCGGAAAAGAGGGGGGTGATGACTAGGGGGGGGTGGATATCATGGCGGGGGCCGTGATATTTCCGCAGATTTCATGGCGCTTCTTCTTATTTCATTACGTCCCTGGCCCCCCCCGCTGGGCCGCGCACATGCCGCCGGTCATGATTTGCGCACCCCCCTCTTGGACACCCCCCTCTTGGCCGCTCCCGAATTCACGGATGCTCGCCCCTTGGCTTATGTCGGGCGTGTCCCCCTACAGGGGGAGTGCCGACGAAAAATGGAAGATGCCCCAACATCACCCCAAGAGGGTCAAAGGGTACCCGAAGAGTAGTTCCGAGGCTATGTTTGGTTTATTTTCTGATTATTTTGGGAGTATTTTTTATTTTTCGTCGAAGATCCCCCTGTAGGGGGACAGGCCCGACTTAACCCTTGGCGTGGGGCCGGCGAGGGGCCACGGGGCGAGAAGGCCGGTGCTCGTCTCTTGGTCGATCTCGCCCTGCTCGCACCTCGTTGGTCTGTCTTTTGCTGCTCTGCGTGTGTTGCACTGCCCGCCGAGGTGCCGCGTGAGGCTTCGGCCCACCGCTTTGGGTTAATTCGTCTTTGCGCGGTCCGCTCTGACTGGACTCGCCGCTGGCGCTCTTGCCTGCGGACGCTGACCAAGAAAGTGTGTTGCACTGCTTGCACGGCCTTACCGATCGGTTCATTGCTCTGTGCTGTTTCCCACGTAGCTGGCACTATACATGGATTGCATCACCTGTATATTGTACCACTTTGGTTGCACTGCGTGGATTGCACCGTGGCTAACCACAGGAAGTCGACGTTTGGGGTCGACGCTGGCGAACATACGGTTTTTTTTTGTCGGCTTATCTCGCGCTGCTCTTCATCTGCATTCAGCTGAAGCACTTGCTACTTCGATATCACTGGATGCTTCCAGATTGTGGCATGTCGTCTGTGGAGGACGACCGCCATCTTGGCTCCCACACTGCTAGAGGAAGTAGAGATGTGGCAGCCGCATCGTCAACGCACTTCCGTGGCCGGGTAGGGGCTAGAATCGGGGGCGAGCGACAGGGTGAAGTGAGAAGGAGAGGGCCTTCTCAGAAGGCGGCGGGACTTCTCAGAAGCCCTCGCGTCTTCTTGAGAAGTTGTCGGTGCGCTGGGAGGACCGAGAGAGCTTGGCCGGGGGAACTCCCAGCCTTCCGAGGAGGCCCGGGCGGGGCAGAGCTGCAGAGCCACCGCAGACTGGCGCCGGTGCCCTGCAAGACATGCGCGACGTCACGACTTTGTCAAGACGTGGGCCCGGGATCGGCGTCCCCCCAGCATACTTCTACTGTGTGTTCGTCGCCCCCCCAGGGGGCGACGCGCGCACCGAGAGATCTTCTAGTATATGTGCGTCGTCGCGTTGGCTTTCTGGCCACGCCGCTCGAGACACGATCTGCTACAGGATGGGTACACTATGTGTTCGGGTCGGACGCGCGCCTCCAAGGCGGACATGTAGTATTGGTATGTCAGTGTGCGTCCCATGGGAAGTTCCAATCCGTTCCCAAGGGGTCGGCTTTTCCTCCCGAGCCGTTTTTGACAGTTTATGGGCCTGGCGAGGGCCCCCGGAAGCCGAAGGCGGCAACAAGTCGTCGTGGCTCGTGCCACGACGCGGCCATGCCCGGGAGCATCGCGATGGCATTGGCACCCCGCCGTCGCTCAGCCACGCGCAGAGGGGGGTGGGGGAGGGGGAAGGCTTCTCAGAACCACCCCTGCTTCTTAGAAGGCGCGGGCTTTATCTATAGATGTGAGGCCGGCGCCTTCTAAGAAGCGGCTTCCTTCTAAGAAGCCTTCCCCCACTCCACCCCCTTGTGCGCGCCGCCAAGTCGCCGCACGACGCGCTCGAGAGACCGGGCCTGGTGCGCAGGAGCCGGCGCGGGGGCGGAGGCGGCCCAGCAAGGGCTACTACTGGGCGGCAGGACGGGGGGGGGGAGACAAGGACCCAGTCGTCGCCACGGCCGGACGCGGCTCGGGAATTTTTTGCCAGGCTCGACCCCGGGGGGAGGGGTCCAGGGAGCGATTCTGAGTCTGAGTGGATTTGCCCTGGCCCCCCCTCTTGACAGGGGACTCGCCCTTGCCCTCGCCCCCCCTCGATTTCGAGCGGCCTCGCCCTCGCCGCGGGGCCCTCGCCCTTGCCCTCGCCCTTGCCCTCCAGGGGGCCGCTCCGGCACCGGGCCGCCTTGCCTTGCGCCTCTCTTGACAGACTTCCTCGGGACCCGTCCAGCGCAGACCCCCCCCGGGCCACTCCCAAATGTCACCACCATACGAGGAGGATGCTTCTTCGGGCCGGCGGGGCAGAGGCGTTCGTCCTGTACGTGATGGTCAGCTTCTTCACCGTGCTGAGCCTGACTACGGCTCCGAGCCCAGCTCAGCCAGACGTCGTGGCGGAGGAGGAGGGGGCGGAAGAGGCAGGCGGAGGAGGATGAGGATGATAATGGGGTGGAGGAGCCTGCGCCGCACCATGAGGAGGCTGCAGGACATCCATGGGCCAGCATCCCACCTACCCTGCTCCCTCCCTGTCTCCTATCCCTTCTCTCCGCCCTCGTCTCTCCTCCCCCTCCATCTGTCCGCCCTCCTCATTTCCCAACGTTTCCACAAGCTTACATCCTTGCATCCCTCGCTTGAAGACTAAGCTTCGGTTGATAGGATGTTGGGAGGCGGGATTGGTGCAGCTTTCGGTTTACGATCGGCGTCGGACTCCAATATCAATCGGTCTCTCTATCCTACCATCGATCCCCCCTATCACCAAATCAAGTTGCCTGACTTTCCCATTATATGCACACCCATCGATCTCCCAACTAATACAACGCGACAGGCGATTGCCGAGGATCATACGACACCCAATTGGGGGCCAGCGAACGGATTGCAACAAGTGTTAGAGCATGGCTGGACACCTACACTGGGAACCAACGAAGAACAAATGCCGTTGGAACATGTATGCGCGCAATACCAACCACTGAAGCCAAATGTGTCTTTGAAGGTGCCAATTCATAATGCTGGAGCACAGGAGACCACTGACACACCACTTGCGCTCTAACAGTTCTGTTCAACATCTTTAGGCGACAACGTTGAATATCCACTGTGGCGTTGGACCCTGATCTCGCTCGCACTCTGCGTAAGGGGCTGGCCAGACTTTCCGAATTCTTGACGCTTCGCGTATCCCCACGAATTGGAGCTTGGCGCCGCAAGTGCGACTTCTCCCCCCCGTTCCACCGCCGGTTACCGCGCCTCTGTGCCGGTCACCCGCTGATGCTGTCTGCGTTTTAATGAGGGGCATACTGTTCCTGGCACGTGCATGCGCCACTGCGGCCAATTTACATCGTACCGCGCCCCGGACGTTGTGACCGCTCCCTGGGCGTCTCCTTGGAGCCGCGAACCAAAAAGTATCCCCACGAATTACCTCCTGGTGTTGCACGACGCCCAGAAGCTCCTCCTGGTGCCGGCGCTCTTCTGAGCAACGGTGGGGTTCGCCTGCTGTCCGTCCCTCCTGCTCGTTCTTGTTCTTCTCTTTTCGCCCCTCCTCCTCCCCGTGCGCGAAATGTGGCCGCTGCCCGAGTGCACCGTTCCTGGGCGCCGCCCGACCTCTTCGCCGCGGTCGCGATCCAAGAGTAGCCCCACCGCCCCCTCTGGCATTGAGCAGGGACGTGCGGGCGCGCGCGATGGCGTAGAGAGGGGGGGGGCGCCGCCGAGCCGGAGACCTGGGTCTGCCGGAGCAGACCCAGAGGTCGACCATGCACGTCATCGCGTGTCTCTGCGAACGATCTGTGAGCCCCTTGGCAGCTTACCTGGGCCATCCTGGGGCCTCGTTGGGGACGTTTGAGATGCATCTCTCCGACCTGTCGGGGGAGGGCCTTGGGGGCCCTGCTGGGGCCGTCTTGGAGGATATCGATCAGACAAGGGGTGGTCATCATTAGCGTCGCCCCTCTGGATTCTCGAAGGTAGCGTCTGGGGGCGTTCTCTAGGTTGTAGTGGGGCCATATGGAACCTCTCAGGGGTATTACTTGGGCCCTGTTGGGATTATAATATCTTGAGGCCTCAAGATCCCGTCGGAGTCGAAAACAGGATTGTACAACACATTTTGAGTTCTTGCAGTTTGGGATGGACGTTGGCCTCTTAGGGTCTCCTCGGGAGGCTCCGTGGCCACTCGGGGCCGTCTTGGGGTGTGTTGGGGTCTATTTGAGACACAAATGGTGGCCATCTTGGGGTATCTTGAGCCCTTGGAAGCTACCTTGGGCTCGCTGAAGCTATGTTGGAGCCGTGTTGGTCCGAACGCCTCCCAAGGATGCCCCCAGATTCCGAAATATGTGATAACCAATATTTGATAACCATGGGACAACCGCGGGACAACCACGGGACAAGGTAACCACGCTACAGCCACGGGTAAGATCTAATCATGTTTTAGTGTCGCGATCAATGTATTGATCTCAGCATCAGTCGATCGGTCGATATTATTACCGACCGGTCTTACAACGCATGCATGCTTTACCCCTATCGGTATGACGGCTATGGATCCATCCCAACATACTTCATTTCCATTCTACATGTATAATTCTCGTATCGTTATCCGCCGGTCGATCGAACATATATATATATACACTGAGATAGTCGGAACACCCGTCGGGACAACCGCCGTGGAAACCATAGGGACAGCCATGGGGGCAGCCATCGGAGTAAACATCGGGACAACCATCGGGATAACCGTATGATAAATCATCGAGATGATCATCGGGACAGCCATCGGGACAACCATCTGAACAACCGTCGGGACCATTATCGGGATAACCATCTGGACAGCAATCGGGGCACCCATCTGGGCAACATCGGGACAACCATCGTGACATCCATCAGGACAGCCGGCGGAACACCCGAAGGACTTTTTTGTTGTGGTGGCCGGCCTCTGAGAAGAGCAGGATTTCGCGCATTGTTGCGTCGCTTGCACGCACGACACTCAAGAAACGACACGACTTCCTGGTTGGAGCACCTCACATTCCACTTCGGTCTCCCCCCCGAACCTCCGAGTCTTCTCCTATCTGGGTTGCGTTGCTGCGCAAATCCGGGGTCACGCTCGGAAGGAGTGGGGGCTCGGGGTGGGGGCTGGGAGTGGGCGCGGGGGGTAGCGCACTCAGGATGGAGGGGGGGCGGATGATGTCATTGCTGTCTGGGGCACAAGCGCAAAGATTTGGTCAACACAAAATGAACGCATGTTGGGATCAATGCGTCAGGGGCTCTGACTATATCGCTTCGCAGGGTGCGAAACGAGCGAAATGATATAGAGTCATTTTTTGACCAGGGGCGACCAACATTGTATTTTGGCGATTTCGTGGGCCGTTTTCGTTTCGATTTCGTTTTGCAGCAAAGGCGGCTTGGAGACAAGGAGGGACAACGAAAACAATACGACAACGAAAAACATTGTTTGGGTCGAGCCCCTGTTCCAGACCTCCTCCCTCTCTCTCCCCCTCTCCCATGTCGCCTTGCCCATTCCCCGCCCCCGCGTTCCGTCACTGCCCACCCTCCCCTTGCACCCCCTATCTCTTTGTGTCTCCTAGAAAAAACTCCGGACAACAGTCTCACAGCACAGCTGTTTAGTTAGACATAGAACTTCGGAGCAGGAGAAGATACCGAAAGTGCGCCAGTGGATCTCCCTGAATACACTAAAGGGGGGGGGTCCCCGACGACGGATCGAGGAAAGGGGGGGGGGTCCCCGACGACGGATCGGGGAAGGGGGGGAGGGGGGGGGGTCCCCGACGACGGATCGAGGAAAGGTGTGGGGGGGGTCCCAACCCCCCCCCCTTGGGGTTATCCAGCGGCGCACCCTCGAAGATACCGATACCGCTACTCTTCGGCCAGTTTCCCCTGTTTGGCCCTCTTGGGATGCCTTCGTCGCCTCTGCCAGATTCGCCTCGAAATCCTGGTCAGAGCGCGCCCAGGGAAAGGTCTGGCTGGGAAGCAGCGGTATCGGGACCTGTTGGATCCCCCAACATTTGTTGATGTCTTCTCTCATCTGTCATGCGATCGACAGGAACACTTGCAGTATAAAGAATCCTAGACGCTTCGCGTAACCCCATCAGCCCATCCAGCAACGATGCCCAGAGGAATTGCCTCGATCAGGGAAGTGGGCAGCACGCAGAGGAAGGGTCCTCCAGTGGAGGCCTCTTGGAGCGTCTTGGGGGCCTCTTGGCGGTCCTGGACGACTCTTAGAGCGTATTGGGTGCTTCTCAGAGCTTCTTGGGGCCTTTCGGGGGTCTGTTGGGAGCCTCTTGGAGGCCTCTTGGGCGCTTGTTGGGGCCTTCTCGGGCCTCCTGGGCGCTCTTGGGGCGTTCTTGGGCGCTCTTGGGGCCGTCTTGGGGCTCTCTTGAGCCTCTCTTGGGGCCCTCTTGGGCAATCTTGGAGCCATCTTGAGGCCTCGGATGGCCATCGGGGCGAGAAAGCCAAACACATTAATTTCCCCTACGTTTTGGAAGGATGTGGGCCTCTTCGGGGCCTCCTGGCGGAGCTCGTTGGCCACTTGGAGCCGTCTTGGAGCGGTCTTCGGACCTCTTGGAGCATCGTGGGAGCGGTCTTGAGGCATCTTGGGATATCTTGAGCCATCTTGAGGGTGAGCTTGGGCTCTCCCAGGCGCTCTTGGAGTCATCTTAATCAGTGCCCTCCCCAACCGGGAGGCTGAGTAAAATCAATGATCTTAGCATTCTCGCCCATGCCTCTTGGAGCGTCTTGGGTGCCTCTGGGGGGCCTCTTGGGGCCTCCTGGCCACCTCTTGGGGCCCTCTTGGGGCACCCTTGGGAGCCTCGGGAGCGCTCTTGGGGCCATCTCGGAGGAGATCGATCAAAGCAGGGGGTGCTCCCTATGTAGCTCCCCCCCCCCCCAGACGGCCAAGGTGGGGCCAAAACCTTGGGAAAGCCAGTGCTTTTGGTGCTTCCTCGCCGAGGCCATCCCCCCGCGAAGCCCCCCGTCCAGGTCCAGGGGAGGGGGTAGGGGTCCAGACGCCCTCCAGGTAGCAGGCCGTCCAGCTCACTCCCACCCGCCCTCCCAACACAGAGGTGCTCGGACGCAACTTCTGGGAGGTCAAATTCTGGTCTCGCCCTGGTCCGAAATCTTGCTTGATCTGGCTTAGTCCCGCTTCATCCCGCTTCATCCGGCTTAGTCCCGCCTAATTCGGCTTAATCCAGCTTGATGTGAGGCCCAATCTGGCGTAACAGCGCCCCATTGGGGCTTAATCCTCCTTAATCCTTCCGACGAAGACCTCCCAGTAGTTGCCTCCTAATAAGTGGCACCCGAGCCTCAGCATGTTCCGCGGTTGTCTTTTGATGGGCAGCTGCTGGGAACCAAAGCCGAGCCCATGTGCGCGACGCTGGGGCGAGGTGCGCCACGTGTGCCAGGCGCGCCACGCGCGCCAGGCACCCCTGGGCCCGAGCGTGCTAGGCACGCCTAGTGCGCCAGATGCTCTCTCCACTCGCGCCAGGTGCACCACGTCCGGGGCACGTGCAGAGTGTGTCAGGTGCGCCTGCGCACATGACAGGACACATCGGGAAACATGTCGGCCCCCACCATCCCTGTCGAAACCAATGCCCATCATTGTGTCTGGTGGGCCTGCGCACAGCAGGCCATACACCACCACCCCCGCCGTCCCTGACAAAAGCCACTTGACAGTGATCGCGGGGTGGCCGCGCACTACTAGCCGCGAGGTGCATTTTGTATTGTGTGTTTGTCAGGGATGGCAGCCCTGCGCGCAGCATGCAACACGGTGACACCCCCGCCGTTCCTGTCGAAAAACAAACCGAAGTGCCCGCGGGCCTGACAAACATGACTTCAGACTTTGCCCCGAACTGTACTGTATATTCTTTTTTGACAGGGATGGTGGGGGGGGCCCGCATCGGGTTGGCTGCGCATGCTCCGAATTTGGAAGTAAAGTGCGTTTTGGATTGTTTTTTGACAGGGATGGTGGGGGGGGGGCCCTCATGCTGTGCGCATGGTTCCGGGTTGGCTGCCGGCCGGGTGGGGGAGGGGGTGTTTATTTAAAGGGAACAGTGATAAACCCCTCCTCGAAGGGGAAGAGGGAGGGGTGGAAGAGGAAGCTCCCTAGACCACCTTACGCCTTAAAGGGCTGGTGGGATTCGTGTGTCTGCCAATGCGTCCGTCGTGCCGTTTGATCCACACGTGCACCATCGCGGCGGCCCTTCCGGCATTAGCAGCAGGAATCCGTATGCCCACCATCTGCCCGTCTTCCCCTTGATCTGGTCTTGGTGCCATCGCGGCGGCCACTCGGCGGCTTTCGCCTTCCGGCCACGGCGACCCCGAGGGTGTGGTGACCGACTCGTTCATGACTGCCCAGCGGGACGAGGAGGCTTGCCCCGGGCTGCCCCAGCTGCAGCTCCGACCCAGCCGTGCCCTGTCCTCCGCTGCACCCTCCATCGGCAACGGGGCGCGGCGCTCGATCTGCTCGGCAGGGGTGGCGACGGCCTCGTGGGGTCGCACGGGCGGCGCGCCCCAGCTCCAGGAGCCGATTCGTGGCGCCCCGCTTCGACGACGACGACGTGCAGGACGAGCGGACGGACAGACCGATCGAGGACGACGGCGGCGGCGGCGACGAGCGACGACGACGACGACGACGACGACGACGACGACGACGACGACGGCGAGCGAGAATCCGCTGGAGCCTCCGAGAACCTCCGAGAGCCTCCGAGGGTCTTGGATAGCCTCGGGGGACAATAGTCAGACAGCGGCGGCGGCCCGCCGAAACCGGCACACGGTCACTGGGGGGAGATCTTCGGAAGCACTCGGCGGCGGCGACGAACGACGAACGACGAACGACGAGTGAGAACCCGCCTGAAGCCTCCGAGCACCTCGTCGACCCTTCCGCCTTCGAGGAAGGGCCGAGGGGGAGAGTCTGCGGCGAGCCCCAGGGGGGAATGCACAGGGGGCCGGCCTCTGCTCAAGGCTCGGAACTCCGTCGTCCTGCGGAACATGTTGCTGGGCCTCCTCGGGAGACAGAGACGGCTTCTCGGAAGGCCGGAGGGCTTCTGAGAAGCTCCGCCGCCTTTGAGAAGGCCTGCTTCCTCTCACTTCCCACCCGGGCTCGCCGCCGAGAGGTTGTTCGCCGAGGGGGCTCGCACGCGCGCACTCCGCAACCTTTTGCCTGGCAGCAGCGACAGCAGCGCACGTGGCCTGAAAAGGGCACGATCACTGCTGCGCTGAGCCTGACAGCCGCCGAGGGAGGGGTTGGGAGCCCCGGCGCCCAGGACGCGCTCGGCGAGGCGCGGCCGCTCGAACGCACCCCGAGCCGAGGCTGGGGCAGGCCTCCAGGTGGGCGCTTGCACGCTCCAGCTCGGCCAGTCGGGAGCCCCCTCGCCTGGCTGCCTCCGCTTCCTGGGCCGTCTTGGGGGCGTCCCGGCCTGCCTTGAAGGCCTCTGGGCCTGTCCCGCAGCTCGCTTGGGCTCCTCTTGGGCCGCGGGAGCCCCCTCGCCTGGCTGCCTCCGCTTCCTGGGCCGTCTTGGGGGCGTCCCGGCCTGCCTTGAAGGCCTCTGGGCCTGTCCCGCAGCTCGCTTGGGCTCCTCTCGGGCCGCGGGAGCCCCGCCCAGCCGCTCGGCGGCCCCCACCGAGCCGACGAGGACCCGCCCCATGCCCCCGCTCGCTGCCTGCCTGGGCTCGCCGAGGGGGCTGAGGGCAAGGGGCAGCAGGGGAGGAGGAGGCGGGGGAGGAGGAGGCGCAGGAGGAGGAGGAGGAGGAGGAGGAGGAGGAGGAGGAGGAGGAGGAGGAGGAGAGGAGGAGGAGGAGGAGGAGGAGGAGGAGGAGGAGAGGAGCGAGGAGCGAGGAACGAGGAGCGAGGAGCGAGGAGCGAGGAGCGAGGAGCGAGGTGCGACGAGCCAGACGTCCTCGCGGCGGCGGCGGCGGCGCGGCGCCAGCGCGCGGCGGCGCTGCCGCGCGGGGCCCCCCCGGAGCGGACGGGGCGCCGCGGCCAGGCGTTCCGGCGGGCGCAGCTCGAGGAGCATCGTGCCCGCCCCGCCCCATCGCCCTCCTCTCCTTCCAACACCCCTCCTCCTCTCCTCTCCGCCCCCCAACTTCGGGGGCGGAAAAGAGGGGGGTGATGACTAGGGGGGGGTGGATATCATGGCGGGGGGCATGATATTTCCCCAGACTTCATGGCGCCTCTTCTTATTTCAATACGGTCCCGGCCCCCCCGCTGGGCCGCGCACATGCCGCCGGCCATGATTTGCCCCCCCCCCCCCCCCCTTGGACACCCCCCTCTTGGCCGCTCCCGATTCCAACACCCCTCCTCCTCTCCTCTCCGCCCCCCCATTCTGGGAGAAGCGTGCTGATGGCGATGATGATGGCGATGATGACGATGATGATGGCGATATCGATGGTGATGGTGTTGCGGTGGTGATGATGCTGCTGATGACGACGACGATGCTGATGTTGATGCTGATGCTGATGATGATGGCCATGCTGCTGCTGATGATGATGTTGTTGTTGATTATGACGATGCTGATGACGATGACGATGACGATGACGATTATGACGATGATGATGATGATGATGATGATGACGATGACGATGATGATGATGATGATGATGATGCTGATGATGATGATGATGATGCGTATGATGCTAATGATGATGATGCTCATGATGATGCTGCTGATGATGATGATGATGATGATGATGATGGCGACCACGATTATGATGATGATGATGATGATGATGATGATGATGATGATGATGATGATGATGATGATGATGATGATGATGCTGGTGATGATGATGATGATGATGATGATGATGATGATGATGATGATGATGATGATGATGATGATGATGATGATGATGATGATGATGATGATGATGATGATGATGATGATGATGATGATGATGATGATGATGATGATGATGATGATGATGATGATGATGATGATGATGATGATGATGATGATGATGATGATGCTGATGATGCTGCTGATGATGATAATGACGATGATGCTGCTGTTGATGATGAGCTTGAGGATGACAATGATTATGACGATGATGCTGCTGCTGAGGAGGATGCGGAGGAGGATGAGGTAGAAGAGGAGGAGGAGTAGGAGGAAGAGGAAGAAGAAGAAGGCAGTCACATGTGACAACTGTGAATTTCGTCTTTACTTCTTGAGGAGCTCTCCTGGGGCTCATTCGGGCCCTCTTGAGGCTGACTCTTGCTCCTGTGGGGACGTCTTGGGGGTCCATTTGTGCGGTCTTGTGGCCCTCTTTGGCTATCTTGGGGCTCTCTTTGGCCGTTTTGGGGCCATCTTGGCAGTCTATGGGGTGTCTCACGGCCGTCGTGGGTCCGCTCCGTCTTCTGGATTTCGAAGGCCCACTCTTGGGCTGTCTTGGGGCCCTCTTGGGCCATGCTGGGACCCTCTTGGGGGCCCTCTTGGGCAGTCTTGGGTCATCTTGGAGGCTTCCCGTGCCGTCTTGGGCTGACGGAGGCCCGAGACGGCGAGAGCGCACATGTTGTCAAAAGTCCAAGGCAAACAGATAATCGTAGCCGCTTCGGACCCTGGTGGGGGTCCTCTTGTGGCCATCCTTGGCCTTCTTGGAAGCATGCTGGGCCGTCTTGAGGATGCATGAGGCTGCCGCGGGGCCATCTTGGGTATTCTTGGCGGCCTCGGTTGCGCGCGTGAGCCGTCGTGGAAGCTCGGGGGCACGGGTCCATATGTTTTGAAAGGGGTGGCTTCTGGAGCGGGGGCCCATCGTCTTTTTTCATGAGGCAGGATAGAGGCGGAGCGTGCAGTTGGATGTGAGCAGAGGGGAGGGGTTTTCGGGAATAGTTCAGGAACTTTCCCAGACAGCAGTTGGCATTTTGCCTCGCCTCAAGCGCGCCATGGGGCACAGCGGTGGATTTGCCATGGAGGAAGGCCCCAGTGTGCATGACCCGTTTCCCTCAGGACCCGTGTTTTTCATACCAAAGTTTCTTCACCTCCTTCTCTCCGCTTTCTGGCTGGTCTGCAAGATGCGCCGCGTGCCTCTGGGTCTCCGTTGCATCTGGGCCACATGGCCTGTCCGGCGCCCGTCGGGCTTTCCGTCTGGCCTAGCTCGCTTCGCTCGCCCGTCTCCTCATGCGTGGCGTTCGTGCTCCGCCCAGACCGCGCCATCTTTCCCTTGCATGCTCGGGTCGGCTCTCCCATACCACGGGAGGCCACGTCTTGCTCTCGAGCGCATGCGCACGAACGTGTGGTGCAACGATGTGGTTCCGTGCCCTGGGTGCACGGTGTCTCCGGTGAGGTCTGGGGTCGTCTGCGCATGCACGAGCCGCGGGCCCCTCGCTTGCTCTCGCGCCTCCTCCCTCCTGTGTTTGACGGTGGCCACGCGTCGCGTCCATTTGCTACCCCAGCTTGTGTTGGTCGCTGTTTCGGCCTCGGCGGTACATTGCTGCAGCGCAGCATCGGCCTCTGCCCCCCTCGATTGAGATTGCGGATCACCTTTCCACCTCTTTGCACCCGGCTCATGATGCGAGTGGCACACGCGCGAGCTAACAGTGACAGCATCGTAACATGTGCCCATGTTGTAACGGACAGAGTGTTTCCGCGCCCTGGTTGAGTTTGAACCGCGAAAGCGCCACCGCCGCACTGGAGGAACATGTGAGTCGCGCAGCTGATCCACTGCAAGCTACACTCAGCTCCTTGTAGTTGCATAGTTGTTCGTTTTGTAGTATCGTAGTTTCGAAGCCCAAACTGCATACATCTCTGTATACATACATATATATACACAAACACATGACACACCAACACGAACAGCAGCAGTCAGCTCAGGCTTCAGAATTACGCTGGCTTGCGGGCCGCTGGTATCGATGCTACTGCAGCACAATGTCCACTTGAGCGGTGCGGCGGCAATGCCGGAGCAGCACGGATCCCAAAAAGGTGGTCGTTCTCTCGCAGTCTCCATGAAGGACTGCGGAAGAGCGGGGCTGTGGAATGCGGCATTAATGTTGTTACACGACGCGCTACAGTTAAGTGCACTAGTCAGCACAGTCCACTTCAATGTTGCCATCAGTGTTTGTGGAAAGGCCGGGCAGTGGCAGCATGCGCTGTCGTTGTTCAGGGAGATGTCTCAGTCTGTGCTCGAGGTGGACGCGGTTAGCTACCGCGCTGCAGTCGGCGCGTGCCAGAAAGGTGGGTGCTGGCAACTGGTGCTGTCGTTGTTGAGGGAGCGGCGGGTGGACAGGCTGGACCCGAACGTCATCACGTCTGGAAAGCCCGACGCCGCTCGCTCCTGGGTGCCAACGGTCCCGACGTCCTCGCCTTCCAACTTGATTGGTTCGGCCCAGCGCCAGGTTTGGAGACGCTCCGGACCGCCCAGACATGCCTTTGGTGAGATTGCCAAGAGGTGCCGAGGGGCCAAATAGGCAAGCAGGATGGTGAGAGTTCCCTTGCGTCTTATCAGGCGAACATGTTTCGCGCTCAGAATTTCGCCCTGATGTCTCATGAGGCCCTGGAGGGATCCAGAACCCTCCACACGGAGACGCCACATGTTATGCCCTTCAGCTTCCCACGGTGGTCCCCAGCCGCCCTCGGCCCGCGCCAAGGTTCTCCCTGGATGGGTCTGGCGGTGCCCCGGACTGCCTTCGGTATTTGCTCAGCAAGCTGCGCGCCCGTTTTCTTTCCAGACTGTCCAGCAGCCTCGTTGCAAACATCCGGCGGTGACACCACCCATGTTTCGTGAGATTTCCTTCAACGGTCTTGTAATTTAGCTGTCACTCGTTTCACCCTCTTCGTAACATGTGGTCGTCACTGCCGCGCATTTGCAGCTAGTCTGAAGTTTGCCACAACTCTGGAATCAGCGCGTGTGGGAAAGGTGGGCAGTGGCAGCATGCGCTTTCATTGTTCATGGAGTTGCGGGATACGATATAATGGCCTTCGGCCCATCCCGCCACCGTGACTAGGTGGTAGGTCGGTGGCCTCTTGGATGCCCGTGGGGATCTCTCAGATCGCTTGGGAGGCCTCTCGGAAGCTTGTTGGAGGCAGTTTTGGGGAGTCTTGTGGGCCTCTCAACGGCCTTTTGGTACCTGACTTAGGCCTGCTGGGGGTCTCCTGGAGCTTCTGTGGAGACCCCGGGAGCCGGCTGGCGGCGTCTCGGGGCGGAGGGCTCGAAGTGTCGGTCCGCGTTTCCCTTCTGGGGCCCTCTTGGGGCGCTCCTGGGCAGCCTTGGGGCCCCCTGGGGGTCGCCTGGTGGCCCCCTTGGTAGTCTCTTGGGGCGACCTCGGGGGCGTGTCGCGCCGTCTTGGAGCGTCGATCGCCGGAAAATGCGAGAGCGGAGAGCGTTCAAATTAAGTCGGGCCTCCCTCTACAGGGGGAATATTCAAAAATAGTCAAATTAGCCTGGCGAAGGACCCAACCATATGCAGTTGTGAGTAATGCTGGTGTGAGTACCGTCTTCGGTGGATCTCCCTATGGGGCCACGAAACGTGTGAGGGGTGTGCCGAAATGGGTGTGGGGGCGGCATGCGAACGTTGCCACTGGGGCCTTCGGTGGAGCTCCTTATGGGGCCACGAAACGTGTGAGGGGTGCACCGAAGTTGGTGCGGGGGCGGCATGCGGACGCAGCCACTGGGGCCTTCGGTGGAGCTCCCTGTGGGGCCACGAAACGTGTGAGGGGTGTGCCGAAATTGGTGTGGGGGCGGCATGCGAACGCAGCCACTGGGGCCTTCGGTGGAGCTCCCTATGGTGCCACGAAACGTGTGAGGGGTGTGCCGAAATGGGTGTGGGGGCGCATGCGAACCCAGTCACTGGGGCCTTCAATGGAAATCCCCATGGGGCCACGAAACGTGTGAGGGATGTGCCGAAATGGGTGTTGGGGAGGCATACGAACCAGGCCACTGGGGCCTTCGGTGGAGCTCCCTATGGGGCCACGAAACGTGTGAGGGGTGTGCCGAAATGGGTGGTGGGGAGGCATGCGGACCCTGCCACTGGGGCCTTCGGTGGAGCTCCCTATGGGGCCACGAAACGTGTGAGGGGTGTGCCG